ACTCTCCTCTTAACTGTTCTAAGGTTTTTTATTTATTTTTAACACCTAAATAAGACATGGGTTCCCCAAGTTGTGCTCCTTAATATATTCCGATCCCATCTCCTCGTACTCCTTCTTCGTGACGTACGTCGCGCCCGCACCGTTGGCCCACTGCGCCATACCCTTCCAGGCGTCCAAAACCGGATCATTCGCAGTCCTGATCCGCAACAGAGCGCCGCTAGGAAGAAAGCTGGTGAACTCATTCCGCATTCTGGTCTCAAACCCGTGGGTCAACACCGGTCCGCCGCATAAAAACACATCACGCACCATCTCGTCCGCATCTCCCAGGAAACCACATGAAGGCATGCGCCGAAGCACAATGTCCTCAGAAATCTCACACACCCCCGCCTGGTCGAGTCCGGCGATGGACGGCTGGAAGTAGATCTCCGGGACACGGATGCGCTCCACATTGAGGTGCACCTGGTGCTGGTGGTGTGCATCCTCGATATCAAACGCGCTCGGCCCGCGGAGAAACTTGTGCAAGGTGGAGTTCTTCCAATCGAACGACGCTTCGAAGGTGTCGGCCTGGGTGAACTGGACATCGTGCTCGAGCAACTCACGCTCAATCTTGAGCAACTCCTCGCGCTCCTCCTCCTCAACCTCCTCGTTGTCCGCACCAACGGCCTCAGAGTTGATATCACGGTACACGGCCCAGTCGGCGTCGTTGGCACCGAACGTGTCGTTAGGATCGTTGTCGATGGTGGCGCTGTTGGTCACGCGCTTGCGCTTGGTACCTCCCGCGTTCGCGTCGGCATCGTCAGCGAGGGATGCGATATTTTTCATGCGCTGCTGCGACGCCTTTGACTTGCGGTCCTTGCCTTCGCGCTGTATCTTTACACGCACCTGGTGTTTCGCGATCAACTCGCCTAAGCGCGCGCGGCGCGCAGCCACCCAGCCGTCCAAGTCACTTTCCCGCCACTCCTTGTCCTTACGGATCTCCTCGTCGCGGAGCCGCTTCTCTTCTTCCTTCTCGAGCTTTGCGCGTGCGCGTGCGTCGTAGTTCGACTTCATCAACCGCTGCTTGCGCTTCTCGCGAATCTCCTCCTCCGACAACTGCTCATCCGGGATATCTACCAACGGGAATGTCGGCGTCTCTTCTTCCACGTCGCCCAAGTCGCCCTGGCGCGACCGCTTTAACGACCGCTCGAGGTTGTACATGTACTTCTTGAAGTCCGCTTCTCCTTCAAACCCCTCGCCCTGGAGCATGTTCTGCACGTCGCGCTTGCTTGCAGTCTCCATTTTCGCACGCACCGTGATGTAATACGCATAGTCCTTCTCCTTCTGAACAAGCTTCTCCAAACGCAACTTTTGGGCCTGTTCCTGGAGCCGTCTCCCCCCCTCACGACGCTTCTCTGCCTCCTTTTGCAACTCCTCCTCGGACTTGACAACCTTGGCAATCTCCACAAACGGCGCCTCAATAACCCTGTCAAGGGTCTGGAGCACGTCCGGGTCGAGGGCCGTCTTAATCTCCTCGTGGAAGTTTGGCGAAACGTAGCAATGGTCGTGCACGAGATACTCCGCCTGCTGCGCGGTGATCTTTGTGGGAAAGTACGGGTACTTCAACGTGAGCAACGAGCTGAGGTAGGTTGTCGCCTGGTGGCCGCCGAAGTTGATGCGCTTCGCCTGGGTGAGGATCCCGCGTCCTTGCACCACCGGAATAATGCTGGTCAGCTCATGGCCCGCGCCTACCACAAGCCCCGTGCGCCCCCCGTTTGCGTGGTACGCAAAGAGCGAATCAAGCCCGAACGCGACCGTCGGCGCATTGTAGGCCTCGAACAACAACTGGTACATGTTCTTGCGGAACACGTGCGGCGCGCCCATGGCCTCTGTCATCACTACCGGATTGTCCACACCTCCTGAGGAGTTTACGCCGAGGTGCTCGAACGAGTAGTCGAGCATGTACTCGATGTAGTCCCAGTTGGCGATCATGGGCCCGTCAAACGGCGTTTTCATTGCCAGCTTGACGGAGGAATCGCGGAATACGTCGTTGCCCACAATCGTCAATGTTTGCGAGATCTTGCGGTCACGCCAGCGGGACACGATGCTGGGGAACACGTTGTTGGGTACGGCCGCGTTTGCGAGCCCAATCTTTGTCGAGTGGGCGCCGAGATCGATGCAGATGGGCACGCCCGGCGCATACGCGCGATAGATAGGCTCCTCGGAGGGTAACGTCGCCGGGTCAAAGTCCCGGAGGGGAAACACCGTCTGCGTAAATGGGGGTGTTTCGGTCATGGGAATGGTGATTGGTGGGAGGACTAGAACAGGGGAGTCTTGGTGGTGTTTTTTTAAGCAAGGTGATTTGGAGTCGTGCGCGGATGGAAATATCCTGCGTGGAGATAGCCAAAAGGATTAAGGTGGAGAAAGAAAAGGCTAGGGTGTTTAATAAGGTTACTAGAACCAATAATTTAAAAATAACTAGCTGATAATTTGGACACCTCCAGGAAACCACCAGTAAAGAATAAAAATTTATAGGGTATCACCACTAACAAGCTTCATCGAATTGAGACTCCTGGGTAAGAACCTGGAAAAACAGAGATGTTTGGGAGTAGTCTAGGAGGTGCAATATTCCTCTTTAGAAGAGAAAAACGGAACTTTTTGACATGTGTTACCTGGACGCGAATTCCTTGTCACCGTAAAAAATTACAGAAGACGCTAGGAGTGTAGGATATACGCTGGGCGGGGAAGACAAGCAGAGACGAATCAGCAATGTCAGAATAGCTGGAGAAATACAATAGATCTACATGCGTTACCCTCGCCAATTGCTAGTTATGTTTAACTACAGTAATGAAATTGTAACACGATTGGCCTTCCAAAATCCCAAAATATACAAGGCTATAAGACTACAAAACTACGTGCCTTGAAACAGGTAAAGCCCTGGTTTTAAACCGCGGACTGATCCGCTCAAAATTAATATAATCTAAACTACACTGCCCACTTAGCCAACCCTGATATTCCCAAATCTACAGCCATCCTCCCTCCGGCGTAACTCTTGGTCCATCACGTGTCCGATACTCCCGCTATCCTGCAGACACACTCTCCTGAATGATCTAAAGCAACAACTTCATCATCCCTTAACTCTCATTCCTCAATTACATCAATTAACCAGCATGAGCGACCAAAACCAATTCCAGCTCCAGGGCTACAACTTGCTCACTCTCCTTAAACGTTTGGAGGTTGCTACCTCACGCTTGGAGGACATCACCATCTTTCAGGAGGAAGCCACCAAGGGCATCCAGCAGGACGCGGGTCAATTGCCTCAGGAAATGGCGATTTCGCCGCAAGCGCCAGCTTCCCAAGCGGTAGCCACGCCAACCTCTGTATCCACCCCTTCCTCTGCGCCTGCGATCGTCGCGTTCGACGCCTTTGTCGCGGAATACGTCACACCCTTCGTCGCCTTATCCCTGGAGATCGATCCATTGGTCTTCCAGCAGGCGGAGCTTCTCGCTGCCGCCTTCCAGGCCCAAAAACGCTTCCTTCTGATTGCGTCACGGGCAAAGAAACCTGCCGACACCGATGCCGCCTACGCCAAGGTGCTTCTCCCTACCAACTCCGAATTGATGGCTATCGATGACCTTAAGGAAAGGAACCGCGGATCCAATTTCGCCAACCACCTCAGTACCGTCGCCGAGGGCTCTCCTGGCCTCTCGTGGGTCGTCGTCCCAACCCCGGTCTCGTTCATCCCGGAGTACAAGGACAGCGCGCAGTTTTGGTCCAATCGAGTGCTCAAGGAGTACAGAGACAAGGATGCGAAGCACGTGGAGTGGGTCAAACGCTTCTTGAGCATCTTTGATGGGTTGAAGGCGTACGTAAAGGAGTACCACAGCACCGGCGTTGCCTGGAACGCCAATGGAAAGACATTAGAAGAGGTTTTGGAGGCTTCCGAGAATGATTCCGTGACTTCTTCACCTCCATCTGCCGGAGGACCTCCCCCACCTCCACCTCCCCCACCAGCTTCTGTCTTCCAGGCTTCCTCCGAGTCAAGCGGTATGGGCGCTGTCTTTGGCGACCTCAACCGTGGGGCCGACATCACCGCCGGCTTGAAAAAGGTGGACAAGTCGCAGATGTCACACAAAAACCCGGAGTTGCGTGCTGCGGCCAAGAAGGCCGTCCCGGCGCCTCCAAAGAAGCCAACCTCCTTATCCTCCGCCTCCAGCGCCAAGACACCCAAGAGACAGCCAAAGAAGGAGTTGGAGGGCTCCAAGTGGTTGATTGAGCACTTCGAAGACGAGCACGAATTGGTGATCGACGGTGAAATGCAGCAGTCGGTCTTCATCAACAAGTGCTCCAACGTCACCATCCAGATCAAGGGCAAGGTCAACGCGATCACCGTGAACGACTGCAGCAAGATCGGGTTGGTCGTCGACTCCTGTGTCTCCGGGATTGACATCATCAAGAACGTCAAGTATGGCGTGCAGCTCATGGGTGTCGTGCCGATGATCAACATCGACCAGTCGTCCGACGGGAGTATCTATTTGAATAAGGACTCGCTCGACTGCGAGGTTTTCACCAGCCAGACCACCTCCCTCAACATCAACTTGCCTCCGCTGGAAGACGACGGAGACTTTGTTGAGGTGCCGGTGCCAGAACAGTTCAAGCACACGTTCCAGGGTGGGAAGCTCAAGAGTGAGATTGTTCAGCACATTGGTTGAAGGCAGTTTGTCTTTTAACTAGAATATTAAAGGGTAAACTCCATGGTTGGGTGATTGTGTAGTGGCGTCAAACCAGAGCAGTGAAGATTGTAGAAGGCTGCACGCCGGCCACTGGTAAATGTCGTGAATATGGGATCGCAAACGGGCTAAAGCGGAGAATTGGTTCAATAGCCAAGAAAAAAAAACGACTAAACAGGTGGGTCAAGTGGAATTACATGCACAAGGCCTACAACTGGAGGGATCTCCGTGAGATTCCGATGTACATCACACAATATTTACCTCTTAGTAAACCTAAGGTATCATATCTTAACTTGGGCGGTGTAGAAACCTTTAGCGAGTTGTACAATTGGAAATCGTCAAAAATCACTTGAGATGAGGTGTAACGTATGGCAAGTAAAGGATCTTTGTAGGACAATGCACCCCATACCATAACTACAGAATCGTCACCATTGTGGCCATATTACCCTCAGGAAATCGGAACTAAAAATATATATAAATTCACTCAGATTCACTGTGGTCTCCGGATTTTTCTGACGAAATATTTTGGACAGTAACCTAAATCAAAATTATGGTGTAGACCAAAAAAAATCGAGTGGTAATGTCCTTGTCCGTATCTTTCAAGAGGCAAACGGTAAACACGTGTTATCTAAAGGTGTAGGTCCCGTTTAGACAGCTTCGGTACGTTCGCGTTCCGGGTAAGTTTCAGACCCCCCCTTACAAGAGCTAGATCGGTTAAACTATTTGCACTCATAACCCTGTCACACCCCGGATGTCGTGTTCTCGGATCTTATCTGGAACTCCTGAGAAAACCACGGGTTGACATATCCATGAGGCTTGCTTATAATTGCAGTCCATTGTTGCCCCCTCCAATAACCCAGTCCTTGAAATCTCATATGATTAACGGATTTTAATTTCACCTTGTTATATCGCCACCCGCTCTTGCCTCCCAAGTTGAGCCCCCGATCAAATGCGCGATGACATAAAGGTGTACACCTCAACCCGTCCCAAACACCCTACGACCGAACAGTAGATGCGATCTTTCGTAATAAAGTAAACCCTACTCGCTGATTCATCTCGTATAACATTTAACTCTTCATGGCTCTCAAACCACTGGTTAATTCCCTCGTTCTCTATCTTCGCTGACGCCGCATGCACGTGACTCTGGAAACTTCTGGCAAAAAAAAAAAAACCTCGAAAAAGAAAAAAAAATAGACGCCCGCTGGAAAATCGTGAATCGCTTACAAATACCTGTGAATCGATACTTATCTTCTTCTTCAATCTTCCCCATCACACACAATATAATGGTTAAGGATACTAAGTTGTACGATCTTTTGGGTGTTTCACCATCCGCCTCCGAAAATGAATTGAAAAAGGCCTACAGAAAGGGTGCTTTGAGGTACCATCCAGATAAGAACCCCAGCGAGGAGGCTGCCGAGAAGTTCAAGGAGCTCTCTTCTGCCTATGAAATCTTGTCAGACGCGCAAAAGAGAGATGTTTACGACCAGTACGGTGAGGAGGGTCTTACCGGTGCCGGTCCGGGCGGTATGGGCGGTATGGGTGGCGACGACATCTTCTCCCAGTTTTTCGGCGGTATGGGCGGCTTTGGCGGCCAAAGCAGACCATCCGGTCCACAGAGAGGCAGAGACATCCAACACTCGCTCTCATGCACCTTGGAAGAGTTGTTCAAGGGCAAAACCGCCAAGTTGGCGTTGAACAAGACCGTGTTGTGTAAGCCATGTGGGGGTAAGGGGGGTAAGAACGTTAAGGAGTGTACCACCTGCCACGGTCAGGGTATCAGAATCATCAACAGACAGATGGGTCCGATGATCCAGAGAATGCAGGTCCAGTGTGACAAGTGTAACGGGACCGGTGACATCATGGACGCCAAGGACAGATGCAAGACCTGCCATGGTAAGAAGACGGCCAACGAGAGAAAGATCTTGGAGGTCCACATCGATGCTGGTATGAAGGAGGGTGAAAAGGTTGTCTTCAGAGGCGAGGGTGACCAGGGTCCAAACATCGTCCCAGGTGACGTTGTCTTTGTTGTTGACCAGAAGCCACACGACAAGTTCACCAGAAAGGGTGACGACTTGTACTACGAGGCCGAGCTTGATGTCTTGACCGCCCTTGCCGGTGGCTCTTTCGCCGTCAAGCACGTCTCTGGTGAGTACTTGAAGGTTGAGATCGTCCCAGGTGAGTTCATTGCCCCAGACTCCGTCAAGGTTATTGAAAACCAGGGTATGCCAATCAGAAGACACGGTGGCCGCGGTAACTTGTTCATCAAGTTCACCGTCACCTTCCCTAAGCCCCACTCCATCCCAGAAGACAAGTTGAAGTTGTTGGAACAGGTCTTGCCTGCCAGAAAGGAGGCTTCTATTCCAAAGGCAGCTATTGTCGAGGAGTGTATGTTGGCTGAGGTTGATCCGTCCAAGCACAGACAGGGTGCCAGACAGAGCAGCTACGACGAGGACATGGAGGACGGCGAGGAAGGTGCCGGCCCTGGTGTCCAGTGTGCCTCCCAGTAAAGTGTACTATAATTGGTTCAGGAGCTTGATATATCGTAATTCAACTGCAACAACGTTGCGTCGTAATAAAGTCTGTAGCATTCAATTTAGGGGTGATGTATGTAATGGAGGTGCATTGGCACCTTTAGGTGCTGCTCTGAATGGAAGTCCTCTATGGAATGCATTTTGACCAGAACTTTCTCGATGTGAAGGGCCAAGAGGTTGGGGAATGATAGGAAACGCAATTTATACCAACAATCTTAGGCATATGGTGGAAATATTATCCGGATCCTAATTTCAAACACTATCACACATACGTATCTGATATGGTTATATTCCATCTTGTTTTATATTTAAATGTAGATATAAACGGTGGTGATAGCCACTGCCAGATTCTCAATTCCTAACTGATTAAATATGAAGGATTTTATCGCAAATATGAATTCCCAATTATTACACCTCGAGTTTAGTCAGAGTCAGGAATCCTAGAAGGTGTCTCTATAGTATCCTTCAAGGCGAATTGTCCCCAACAGAACACCCCACTGAAATCCACCATGGTAGAGCCATGGTCCAGGGACACTGTTTAGACAGCCCCGTGTAAAACCTGTAGGCCACGTAATGATATAAATACCATTTTTTTCGGTCGTGATGTCCAGACAGCTTGTAGTTGGTAGTTTTGATCGGCTGTAACCCACAGCTTTTGGTCTTCATCACAAATCACATACCTTATTCCATCTCGTTCCAGATGTCCCTGGACGTCTGGTCAATCTTCTCGATCGACTTGTTCACCTCTGTGAGGTTGTTCCTGATGTCATCCACGCATCCCTTGATATCCAGTTGGTACTGGCTATTGATGCCATAGTTGAACAACTTCCTCTTGATCGCCTCCAAGTCTTGAATCTCCCATATGGCGTCGTCGTCGGGTTTTGCAAGTAACGTGTCAGCGTTCTTTGTCATGGTATCCAAGAGTTTTCGCTGGGCCTGCGAGAGGGCGTCAAGCGACTTGTTGAACTCTGGATTGCCCTTGAAGCTGAACGTGCCGCTGTTGTCATTCATCTGCTTCGACAACTCCTTGACATCGTCCAAGATGTCAATCTGCGTCCAGAGCTTGTCCTGGTACGTCACCGCTGGCTTCGTAGATGATGGTTCCTGGCGTTCCGTCATGAAAATAAACCTAGCTTTCGGAGACTTAGATGTCAAATAGCTACTATTGAATTGAACTAGGCAGGTCAAACCCCGGAGGAATCCAACGACTCATGCTGGTATTCCCACGACCTGAATTGCTCTGGGCTTGCTACAGAGGCCTGATGGGACACTCATTTTGTACGTTTGAGTATATAATATGTCTAAGAATAAATGTCAATGGAATGCATACAACCTCATTTACTTCCCTTTCAGAAGAATGGGCTTGGCGGGGTCCCACGGGCCCTGGATCTCGTTCTTGAACCGCTGGAAGTAGAGGAAGAGCGACGGCCCGCCGATGATGATGGCCATATTGGCCAAAATCCAGTGTGTCATGATCAACGGTCCACACATGAGGAATATCGCGCGCGAGAGGGCAGTCACGGTAAAAGTTAGAGCCGTCCAATGGAACACGCCCTTGCGGTTAACCCGACCCGTTTCCACGTTACGGAACCTGCCAGAGGCGGTACCCTGGCCCTTGATGACAAAGAGGTCAAAGGCACGGAATAGACCGTTCACTTGGATACTGATGGTGATGAAAAAGAACACCGCAAGAGACGAGCGGAGTCGGGAGGCCAATAAAATGGAGTTTGCGATGAGCACGTTGGTGGAAAACGTGGTCATGAGCTTGGAGGGCTTGGGGGAGGCAGAGTCGGGTGAATCGGCAATGTAGTAGGGATTGGAGAAGTAGTCGTGGGAAATGAGGTTGACAATGTTGAGAAAAACGGAGAGCGCCCAAATGGAGTCGGAAGACGTAGACTTTGTTAAAGATTTCAACACTGGCGACAACACCAAGGTGATGAAGATGATTATCACCGTCGGTTTGAGGTAGCGGAACACCGCCTGATACCCGAGACACGTCGTGGCGGTGACGATGCTCAACACGCTCACGGGGATAAACACCCGGAGCGGGCTCCAGTCATAGGTGTAGAAGCCGTAGAAGATGACCGCAACCACCGAGAGACAGTTCCAGTGCGAGAGCTGGAGCGAAAAGTCGTGGATCACCTTGAGATGGTAGTATGGCTCCACCGTCAGGTTGCGCTTCAACTGCGAGAGAAACGACGTGTCAGTGTAGTTGTCCGGGTATGGTTGTCTGAGGTAGAGAAGTTTCTTCCATGGGATAGAGGTGGACTGCGGATCTGGAGATGGAGAGCCCTGGCTCAAGCAGAGAGGTTCCACCATGATGATTGGGTGTGATAAGTTTTGTTTGTGGAGAGCGTTGAAAAAAATAAAAGCCACGCACAAAAGGTGCATGACCGATCGTATACCATGTGAATATCGAGCGACGTTTTCATATGGCATTTATTGTATACTGAAAAAGGGCCTAGAAAGGGGATAAAAAAAAATTAAGGTCTAGCAATGGCGGAATCCAGTGTTTTCAGTCGCTACGATGTTTAGAGACACCCTCGGAGTGCTATCAGTACTCTCCTTTGTTTGCGAAAATATATTGTACAGACTAAATAGCAAATGAACTACTCCTTTGGAGCCTCTTCCTCTTTGATCACCTTGTCGGCCTTTCTGGCGTTCGGATTAACACCTCTCTTCTTCATGTTACGGTTGACGGTCTGCTGGATGAGCTCCTTATCCTGGTCGGCGTCGAACTCAGCGAAATCGTCGTTGATGATGGTGTCATCCTGCTCGGATCTGGCGGCGTGCTCCTTCTCCTTCGCACCAGCCTTGGAGACATCATGTGGGGAGGATGCAATCTTCTTAAACTTGGCGACGTAGAAACCGTCAACGTTGTAGGTATGTGGATAGTATCTTCTGGTCAAGCTCAACTTAGGACTGAAGTGCTTACCTCTGTAGGAGGTGAACCCCTCCTTACCGATTGCCAAGCCGGTGTCGACCAATCTGACATTCGGTCTTTTCCTCAAGGCGTACTCCACTACAGACTCATTCTCCTCAACCGCAACGGAACAGGTGGAGTACACGATGATCCCACCGGTGGCGGAGTTGGCATCGACGGAATCAATGGCGGACAACAATAACTGCTTCTGCAAGTGCGGAATTTGGATAAAGTCCTTCTCAGTTCTGGAGACCTTGACCGACTCGTCCTTCCCAATGACACCGGTACCGGAACACGGAGCGTCCAACAATACTCTGTCAAAGCCACCGATAACCTTCGGGAACTCACGGGCATCGTAGTTACACACGATGGTGTTTCTGCAGCCCAATCTATGGATGTTGGCGATCAAGGACTTGGTTCTGGCCTTGTTGGCATCGTTGGCAAACACACAGCCGGTGTTCTTCATCATTGCCGAGATGTAGGTGGTCTTACCGCCCGGCGCCGCAGCCATATCCAAGATACGCTCGTTCTCCTGTGGCTGCAAGGCCATCACTGGGAGGAAAGAGGACGCGGCCTGGAGGATGTAGTGACCGGCGAGGTACTCCGGGGTGGCACCCACCGGGACCTGGGAGTCGAAAATCTGCAAACCAACCTTGGTCCAGGTCCCGATTGGCTGCAAGTTGACACCTCTGTTGACCAAGGTCTGCGCCAAGTCACGACGACGGGAATGCAAGGTGTTGGTTCTGATGGTGGTGGGTCTCGAGATTTCGTTGGCTTCGAAGAACTCCATCGCTTCCGAAGGAGAGAACAAGTTGAACAACTTTTCGGCCAAGAATGGCGTGTACCCGAAGTACGAACAAATGTCCTTGATCAAACGGTTAACGTATTCGGTTCTGGACTTGCCATCTTCGGCCAAAGTCTTGAAATCTTCCAACACCTTGGTGATTTCCATCATTCTGGTTCTGGTCATGGTGACATCCTGGGGATGGCCCTCCATCGCCTCCTCCTCTTCCGCCGTTGGGAGCACAATGGCCTTTGGCTGGACAGCACCCTCCACCAACTCCTCTTCGGCCTCTTCGGCTTCCAACTCCTCCTCCTCGTCCAATTTGCGAGACAAAGCCTCCATATTGGCAACGTTAAGGGTCTCAATGTCTTCGTCATCAGACCAGATAGGCTTCTCGCGGCCCTCCTCGTCGGAATCATAGAACTCGTCACCCTCCTCTTCCTCCTCAGAATCGTCGAAAAGCGCCTTCTTGGCAGAGGCCAACTCCTCTAAATCAACCTCTGGAAGGTCGGCTGGCATCTCCTCCTCGTCGGAAACAACAGGCGCCTGCTTCTTGCCCTTCTTGCCCTTCGGTTCGTACGCCTTCTTGGCTGGCTTTTCCGACACAGACGCGGACCTCTTTCTCTTGTTGTCCTTCTTTTCCTTTCTGGCCTCCATCTCCTCGAAGGAGGGTGGCATACCCTGCTTGTTTTGTTGACGTCTACCCATAGTTGATGCTGTGAATGGCTAGAAAACTTAGAAAGGGTCACCTATCAATATTATTATAGCTGTGAAAATTTCGCATACACTTCATGCAGGAGTGAAAAAAAAATATCCACCTCATCAGTTACCCGGAAGGTGTCCTGCACGGAGGTGGAAAATTGGGTGCGCCGCACACTATCGATAATTTTTCAGCATAAAGTCATGGGGGAGCAGTCAAGCAGAGGGCGGGATCTGGAGTATATCGTTAGTCACATGTCTGAATACACCTACCAAGAGCCTAAGGAGGCTGTGTTTGACAAACCCACCCAGCTCATCACGCGTGGCCAATGTGTGGTGGTGCGTCTTCCATCCGAGCTCACCAAGATGGTGGTGCTTGGGCAGGGCAAGTTGGTCAATTTGGGCAAGTTCGGAACGTTTTGCAGTGACGAGGTCGTGGGGTATCCGTTTGGGCAATCGTTTGAGATTTTGGAAGACAACAAGGTCAAGCCAATTGGCGCGTTGCTCCAGACCCACGACGAGCCAGAGGACGCGGAGTACGACAACGCGACGGATGAGTTGATCAGAAATCTCGCCAGCAGCGAAAACAACCAGCAGATCATCAATATCGGGACAAAGATCCAGAAAATGACGACCGCGGAAATCGAGGAGTTGAAGGAGACCGGCGGGGCCGGCGTGGGCAAGCAGATCATCGAAAAGATCATTGCCAGTCACGACGCGTTCGACAAGAAGACAGTGTTTTCGCAGGAAAAGTATCTCAAGAGAAAGCAACAAAAGTACTTGAGACGGTTCACCATTGATTATGCTGGTCCGTCGCAGGTTTTGCAGTTCTACTACCAGAAAGACCCGTCGAGGGTCTTGGACATGAGCGAGGAATCCTTGGGGATGATGATGAACTTGGCGAATGTCAGACAAGGCGGAAAGTACCTCTTGGTGGATGAGACCGGTGGTGTGGTGTTGTACGCGATGATGGAGAGAATGCGGGGTGAGGGGATGATTGTGGTGGCCCACGAGAACGAGCACCCTAACCACTCTGTGATGGCGCATTCCAACTATTCCGACGAATTGATCGATTCTGTGGTCAAGCCTATCAACTGGTTGCAGTTTTTCGATCCAGAGGAAGAAAAGATCGGCTGGACGGACTTTCCCCAGGACATTATTGACGGCATGACAGGCTCCAAGAGACAGCAGTACTATAGACGCAAGAGAAGGGCTACAGATGTCAACCACGCAATCAATTTGGTTGAATCGGGTAACTTTGACGCCTTGATCGTTGCCACCACCTTGCACATGCCTTCCTTGGTGGAGAAGGTGCTCGAGAAGGTGGGGGGTTCCAGACCTATGGTCTTCTACAGTCAGTTCAAGGAAACCTTGGTGCAGACGCAGCATGTCATGGCGAAGGACTTGCGTGTCTTGGCCCCGACCATTTTCGAAACCAGGGTCAGGCCGTACCAGACCATCCCTGGGAGGATCCATCCGGTCATGTCCATGAGGGGCTTCGGAGGGTATCTCTTGTGGGCCACCAGAGTTTTCCCTAAGGAGGGGATTACCGCGGTGGGAAGGGGTATTGTTAGAAAGGAGAACAGAAAGAAGCAGAAGATTGAGGCACTGGATGAACTTAGCGGTGCTCCGACTGAGGAGTCAACTCCGGAGGTCTAAGCCTTGTATGTACCATATTATCATTTTATTGTAATTGTAGGTGGATGCATTTGCTTGTAGTGGATTCATTTACGACGTGTCTTGGTTTTGCATATATACTTAGAGAGCTGTGCCTCGATAAATAAAGCAAGGAGACAAAGAGTGTTATACAAAAGTATATTTCACATACAATTGTGTCAATATTGGTAGGTCACTACAACGGCATGCCTAAACCAGTGCTGGTAATAATGTGAGCTTATCGTATATTCTAGCATAGGCAATCCTCTAAACCATACATGGTATGCTCTAACTATCGGTTTCAACTCGAATTATGAGCTATTTCATCTTTTTTTTCTCATTGTTCATGCTCGGAGTGAGAAACCAGGTATATCCCTGGAACCATCTCACGCTACCTTAGGCCGACAGGTGAATACCTCGGATTTCCGTCCCCAGGATCCAAGCCCGAACCCCCACTGCAACTTTCGGAAAACAGTTACACTACAACCCCCGACAACTCTAAATTCTCCACTGCCTGATACCTTTGGACACCCTGCGGAGGGGAAAAAGCGCGAATGTACTTCGGAGCGGACCTCGGCCTAAGTTTCACTTCCCCGCGAAATCTGCGGACATCGCGGGGAGATGCGCCTCCGCTCAGTGTTTCATTCCGTCTACATATATAACCTTTGTCCTCCTTGCTCTTTCTCAACCTCCGCTTTTTTGAGCCCCATTCACTATTAATTAGTAATAATCCCTATCATGCCATCCGAAGACCTCCAGATCCCATTAGCCTTCCTCGATAAGATCTCCCCTCGCGGGTTGGAGACCATTAAGAAGGTAAAGCACTTTGTAGAGACCGAGTGCATCCCAGCCGACGAGGTATATCTCGGGCAGCTTTCGACCGACCCAGCAACCAGATGGTCGGTCATTCCTCCAATCATCGAGGAGTTGAAGGCTAAGGCCCAGAAGTTGGGCTTGTGGAACTTGTTCTTGTGCAACAACTACGAGGAGTATGGTGCCGGTTTCACCAACTTGGAGTACGGTTTGATGGCTCAACAATTGGGTCGTAGCCACACGGGACCAGAAGCTACCAACACCGCCGCACCAGACACAGGAAACACGGAATTGCTCGTGAAATACGGATCTGTGTACCACAAGGAAAAATACTTGAAGCCGTTGCTTGAGGGGAAAATCAGATCTGCGTTTCTCATGACCGAAAAGGGAACCTCCTCCTCTAATGCGTTGAATATCTGCTGCTCCGCTGTCAGAAAGGGCGACAACTTTGTGCTCAACGGTGTCAAGTGGTTTGCGTCCGGTGCAGGCGACCCAAGAGCCGCCGTCTGGTTGACCATGTGCCAGACCGCCCAGGGGGACCTCCAAGGTCCAGCCCAGTACACGAAGCACTCAGTGCTTGTGTTGGACGTTGCCAGAGCACTTGCCTCTGGCCGCGCCAAAGTTATCCGTCCGTTACAAGTGTTTGGGATGGACGACGCTCCTCACGGACACTGCGAGATTGTCTTTGACAACTATGTTGTGCCGGTGGAAAACGCGGTTTTAGGGTCGGTCGGCCAGGGTTTCGAAATTATCCAGAGTCGTTTGGGGCCAGGTCGCATCCATCACTGCATGCGAGTGATTGGTTTGGGCGAGCAGGCATTGCTTCACGCCTACCACCGAGCTTCGAACAGAAAAATTGCGGGCGATTATCTCAGCAACTCGGAGACCTGGAGATACGCCTTCGGGGAACACAAGATAACGTTGGAACAGTGCCGTATGTTGGTGTTGAACGCCGCTCATGCAATCGATCACTACGGTGTCGCTAAGCACGCCCAGAGGGACATTGCCATGGCCAAGATTGTGGCCCCAAGAGAGGTTATCAAGATTGTCGACTGGTGTATCCAGGTCTTTGGTGCTGAGGGTGTTTCTCAGGACACCCCGTTGGCCAGAATGTGGATGCACTCCAGAACTTTGAGAATCGCTGATGGTCCGGATGAGTCCCACTTGAACCAGTTCAGCAGAAACGAATTGAGGAAGTTGAGATACGTCAACGATGCGTTTGCTGCATCCGACCGCAAGACGAAGGAATTGATAGGTGCTGCCAAGTTGTAGGTATCGGCATGGCCTATCCCTGCCAAGCCCCCTCTGGTGTTTATTTTAAACTTGTGATTCTAACCGGTGTCAAGTACAAGTAGATTGAAGTAATGCTCTGAATTAGCAGCTAACCGCTAAGCAAAATTTTATCCTAAAAGTCCTATTACATACAACCCAATGCGTAGCATAGTTCAACTATACAAACAAAAATATACACGTAACCATTACCCCGCTAATACAAATCGGACTTGACAAAGTCACTGGTCAACCCAGAAACCTTCAACAACTTTTTGGCTCTCTGCGTCTCCAACTTGATTCTCTCGGCGTTAAGCGCCTCCCACTCTTTGTCTGCTTCATTAAATGGCATCTGTACCATCTCCTCGATCGCAGTGTCCTCCTTGTCGATGTCCAACTCGCCCAACATGACGACATTTTCGCCTCTGATTAAGAAAACCCCACGGTCGGCCTCGGCATAGCGGTTGTTTGGCAAGTAGATGCGCTCTATGGTGTCCTGGAGGACCAAATTGGCTGTGTTTGTTAGTAAAGAGTCTGCCAGGGACGAGAAAATACATACCGTATTGGTCGAAGGTTCTCAAGATCCCGAACAAGTTGCGGCCGTCGCGTAGTAAGACAAAAACCTTTCCTAAAGGGGTGTTAGTACGAGCGGAAAATGTAGAGTTTCTTATGACATACTATCGACAGAACCAACGATTCCGGCGGCGGTGGTGAACGCATAGGACTCGAGGTACAAGTCTTCGACACCCTGACTGAGAGCGTCCACATTCTTGTTGGGCTGCTGTTGGTGGTGCGGTTGCTGGATCTGTGCTTGCGACATGCTTGTATCGCTTGAGTGGTGGGGAACTATGGGGGGGAGGGTTTGTGTTAAATGCTGCACCTTCTATCATCTGGTGTTTTTCGACATTTTTGGTTCAGGATGGGTGCGTGTGCCGCACAGCATGTTGCGGCACCGAGGGGCTCGCCTAGGTGGAACGATGGAGTAATTATATTTACCCCTTTGACATGGTTATAGAACCTTTGTGAGTTTGTAAATTTGAGTCGGAGTTTTCCAGTATATGTGCATTATGATCGCAAGTTGGTATAAATTCTATGCCCTAACGGCACCTCGACTGGATCCAACGAAAAACTGTCAATGTAGTATATATATAAATGTAATGAGATGGTTGAGTAGAATAATTGATCATTATATATGAGCTAGATATGCGGAGGCAGTCAGCCAGTCTTTAGACCTATTACAGAGGTTGATACGCTATCTGCGTTTCCCATTCTATAGCCTCACCGTAGGACGGAGCACCTGCAAGTACCATTACTAGTCAAGCTTAAACTTTGCTAAGTTTCATAAGGGCGTGTGGGGAATAAGCCATATTGTATTATCCATTCATGGATGGCGTAATATCTATCGCAAATTATCGTGATAAGCCTATATCTGTCAATCGCTATATAATTGCCTGTAAAAGTTTTTGTGTCACTGGGGCAATGTGTTCCATTGCTAAAACCTCCATCTGCCTACCCCAATTGTTAACTAATCTACATAAGCCTTTTGGGACCTGGATTTCACATAATCATCCCGGAGTTACACAGTAGCCTTGGATATCTATTTTACATAATTGCTGCGAAAATGCTATGGAAATGTCAGTCACCCTATCTACTCATCATCAGACTCAGACCCTGACCCAGCCTCCTCGATCCCTTCCTGAGCGATTCCAGCGTCATGGGCATACTCGGCACTCTCTAAGATATCCCGTAAGGCCTCATTGTCGCCTCTGACCAAGTCAATCGGCTGCATCCCACCATTGTTCTTGATCCTACTATCAGCCCCAGCATCGATCAACGTTTCGATAATATACGTGCCGTGTTCTGGCTCCTCAAAGCTGTATTTGACGGCCAAATGCAACGGCGTCTCCTTGTCCAAGTTGTTCACCGGGTCAACCTCCACACCCTCCTGGTCGAGTATCGTATCTAAAACTTCGAAATTTCCGTTATGGGCAGCTAGGTGAAGCGCGGTGTTGCCCATGATATCCCTGGATTCGTTGATAAGCGTGGCAATAGCCGCCGGTTCCTGGATTGAAGCGCGAAGTTCTTCAAGAAGCTCCACGTTGTTACGGCGGGCTGCTTCCAAAATCTGTTCACCCTGAGAGGCGCCTTCAGATGACATGATGTGGATTGTAATGGATTGTAATGGATTGTAATGGATTGTCTGGTTGGAAACATGACCCTCACCTCAGACGCTTATCTTAAAGGCTATGTCGGGATATTCATGATCACGTGATGCATGCGCGAAAATGTAGAACTAAATTTCAACTTGTATTTAACTCGCTTTCATCACGTGCGACGCGTCTCTCGACTTTTTTCTACTTAACCTGATCTGATCTTGATTTGCCCACCAATTCTCCGCACACCAGGTCTACAGAAGTAACCATGGAATCTACCCTTCTCCAGATCATCGGCCACCAGACGTCGGCTGATAATGAGCTCCGGCAGCAAGCGGAGCAGGCGCTTCAAGGGCTCACGCGCCTGGACCCGTCAGCAACCGCACTAGCGCTCTCACAGCTCGCAGCAGACCACGCGTTGCCGGTGCATGTGCGCCAGGCAGCACTCCTCCACTTAAAGCAGCTCGTGCCTCAGTACTGGTCATTGGGCTTCGAGTCGTTCGTGGGCCCGCCGGTGGCACAGGACGCGAAACAGCGTATCCGCGCGGCGCTCCTCGCAAGCACCGCTGACACGGACTCCAAAATCCGCAGCGGCGCCGCGTATGCGATCGTACAGGTCGCAGTGGTGGACTACCCAGACGAGTGGCCCGAATTGCTTGACGCGCTCTACGCACAGGTCGCCGCGCGTGCGGACCCGCGCGCCATGCTCGGCGCTGTCACCGTGTTGCACGACTTGTTCGATGACTTGGTGACGGAGGAGCAGTTCTTCGAGGGCGGTGTGGGCGCAGCCGTTATCCAGCACACCATGGAGTTGTTGACGTCCGACACTGCTGTTGAGATCAAGGTGCAAGTAGCCAAGTTGTACAAAGTCGCGCTCCGGCAGTTAACCGGCGGCGACGCACAGGCCACACCCGAGCGCAAGCGCGCGGTCGAGCTCCACGTGCCACAGATCGTGCAACTTGCGAATGTCCTAATTGCATCTACGGATGCCGACACGCACGACCTTTTGTTGCGCGCGGAGCTCTATAAAATCCTCTACATCGTGGTGAACAACTTCAAACGGCTCTACCCAGCGGACGGGCTTGTCCATTCGCAGCAGTTTACCTTGCGTGACTTGGCAGAACTTGCAGGCCCGTACGTGCGTGCGGTTGTGCTCGCGGATGGCCACGCCGACGTCTCAGCTCTCGCCTCTGTCGTTTGCGAGGCCATCCAGTTCATCGGCTCCATCCACCACCTCCACTTCTCCCCTGAAAACATTCCCGTCCTATATGATGTATTGATTCAGCTCTCGCTCTACCCAAACGAGGCACAGGTGCGCTACGAGGCGGACGTCAATGAGTTTGTCACGGACCGAGCCGGTTTGAGTGCACGCTTTGACCTGCGCGATGCAATTAATGAGTACGTGAGCGAACTCAACGCAGCAGACGCGGCACAGATGTTCCACATCGCGCTCGCGAATCCCGCGCCAGCGGTCGCGCATGTGCCCGTGTGGATGGTCCAAGAGGCGAACCTCTTCGTACTCGAAGGGCTCTTTGCAAACGAGGATGCAGACCTAGCCCACGAGCTGGTCCCGTTAGCCACGCTCTACGATGGGATTGCCGGTCATTTAGATGCGGGTTTCCACCCACTTGTCACAAGCGCAGCCATCGCCGCGTTGCCGCGCTTCTTGCACAAGTTCGCACCACAGTTGGGTGTAGCGTCGTTTGCCACGAAAGCACTCGCGACAGTGCTCGCACGTGCGGAGGTGGGCGATGAGTTGGTCCAGGCAGCGGCGATCGTTAGCCTTAACGCCTTCGCGCTGGTGCTCGAGGACGACGGTGCCGTGTTGCCTGCGTCCGCGCAAGCGCCGATTGTACGCATCATAACCGGGCTTCTAGAAGATGCTGAAGACGATACTAATGGTGTGTTGTTGGAAGCATTGACGCTCGCGATTGCAGCAGACGCGCGTGCTGCAAAGCCCGAGGTGATGGACTTGATCTTTGCCATCGCACAGCGCGACCCGGGAAATGTGCAGGTGATGATTGACGCGAAGGAGTCGTTGGAGGCGCTTTTGGAGCAGGTTTCAGGGGATGTCGCGACGTACGTAGCGTACTGCGAAAGGGGTTTGCCAGGTTTGGTGCAAGCAGTTAACCATGCCCTGACTGACAGCGGCGACGCTAGCCGCCTCGTCGGCAGTGACCCCACATTGGATGAGATCCCGTACACTCCCACACTCAGCCTTAACCTTGAGCTCCTCGGGCAGTTTATCGCGCATGCACCCGCAGATGGTGTTCCCGCCTCCGTCTTCGAGTATGTCTTTCCTGTTCTCACCCACATCCTCCTTCGCCCGCTGGACGATCAGATCCTCCAGGTCGCGGCGGAGGCGTTCATAGCGTTCCTCGAGAACGCGACGGCGCTTGTGCAGGCGTCCGAGATGGACGTCGTGCTCCGCATCGTCGAGCGATTCCTCTCGCCGGAGATGTCCGACAGCGCGGCGATGGACGCGGGCTCGCTCGTGGTGGTGCTTGTGGAGAAATACTCGGCGCATCTCGGGCCGTACCTCCAGCAGGTTCTTGCAGCCGCGGCGCGTCGCCTAGTATGCGCGCGCGAGCTCGTCACGATCGAAAACTTGGTCACCGTTTTCTGTCATTTGGTGTTGATGTCGCCAAAGGAGGCAATCGACTTTTTGAGCACCTTCACGGAGGACGGCCGAAACGGGCTTGAGTTGATTCTTCCGATCTGGTTTCTGGCATTCGAAGTTACCAGGGGGTATGCTAAAATCCGCCAGAACGTGCTAGCCTTGGGCAAAATCTACGCCCTCCACGACGAACGGGTGGTCCAGTTGCAGGTTAACGGTGAGATTTTGCCATACAGCGGCGATTTGATCATCACGCGGTCGATGGCTGCCGCAATGCCGACCCAGTACACCCGGGTGAGCGCGGCGTTCAAGATCTTGACGTTGTTGTTAGGCGAGTTGGCTTTTCAGAGCCAGCAGCCAGATCCACTGGACTATGCCGAGGAGGATGGAGACGACTGGGAGGATGTTGATGAAGGCGTGCCGAACTTGGAGAAGTTGAAGGAGTACGCGGAGGATGAGGGGAGAGAGAGTGATGGATCGTTGAAAGAAGTTTTGGTGCAGTTCTTCCGAGAGTGCGCAGCCACAGACTTAGGTGGGTTTTCGGCGTGGTACGCGCAGTTTGGGGATAAGGAGAAGAAGGTGTTGGCAGAGGAGTTGTTCTAGTCGAGAATGTCAGGATAAATGATGGGGTTGTAGGAACCGTCAGGGCACAATCTGAGAGAGCACAATCTGAGAGGGCTTGATATGCTGAGGTATTTGATAAAGTTCGAATATTTGGAAATATTTAGATATTTAAGAGTAGGTGCAATTGAGGCTGGGAATCAAAGATTATGAACTTTGGGGTGAAAATCAGAAAATTTTATATAGGTTCTAGAATGTTGAAATGTACAGGGAATTGTGAAAATCTTATAGTGAACCGAAAAATTGAGTAAATAGTAAATAAAAAGAGCGGTCTATAAAGGTATACAATGGAGAAAAGGGGTATGAATTTTCATCGGTAGTTCAACTTTCAATGCATATGTCTAGATAGCTTTAAAATGGCAAAGGTTTAGTGGACTGCACTTTAAATTTTCCGTCCTACTTCTGTGGCAAGTTTAATAGCACAAGCTTCTTTGCAACATCTAAAACAAAGATATGGTACAATCCTTTGCTACTGCTAACATAAATTTAAAACAGTACTGTAATCTTATAACAAATTAAACACCTTGGCAGTGGAAGACGTACAAGGCCAGCTTATAGTCAAATCCAAATCCCAGATTCATTCGCTTAGTGGGCACGAGGAACTTCGGCACCCGGCATGAAGATTGGCCTGAGCAAAATATAGCTGTTTGCAGTATCAACCATACCCGCAAACATATTATAAAACCCGAAAAGGGAGGTGATGAGACCGATGACCCCAGCAGTCTTTGTCCAGCCCGGGGATTGGGTAAACTGCACCACGGTAAAGACAATAAACATCAAGGTAATGAAGAGGAACTGACCGCAGAAGGAAACGGTGGTCTTAAGAGTGCACAAGAAGGCCAAGAAGGAGAAAAGCGCCCATACGGCACAGAAAGACCCCATCATCTTGTCAAACTCAGCTGCGGACTTGTACGACGCGATAATGCCAAAGGAGTCGCAAAGGATCGACCCGTAACTCAACCAGAATGCACCATAAATTGTGAAAACAGTCGCCCCAAAGGTGTTTTCCATAACAACCTCCCACATCCCAGCAAGAATTTCCACCATACCAGCGAGGAAGAAAGCAGCCCCGATCAAGGCACTGATGTTGGTGCCACCAGTGGCGCCCAAGTTCACAAACGCCATACACATTGTTGGAATACTGAATGCAGCAAGCCCCATAGGAGCCACATTGGCAAACTTTCTAGACGGGGCGGCACGCAACCCGGTATTCAAGGTACCACCAAACGCAGTTTGGATCTCGTCGCGTCTGAAGCGCTGATCACCCAAGTACAACCACTCGCCGTCATCGGAGGTTGTGCAGCGACCGATTCTTGGGAGTTCGTCACGATTGGCCTCATTGATACTCGCACTGGAATCCTCTTGGGAGATGGAGTGGAAGTTCTTCTCGATATCTGGTGAGTAGCGTTCGGGCATGTTGAATTTTTGTGGTAGTGGGCTTTGTAAGCGTGTTAATGAAAAGCTGGGAACTGGGGGGTTCATACCTTCCGAAGGAAGCCACTGCTATTTATGTCCGCTTTTTATGGACTACACCTCCTAGTCCAAACCATGACTGTCATAGCCCAGAAGTTCAAGTCACCCAATTCACCCTGCATACTGGCCAATGCAAGTCTTGCTGCATGATAGAATGCGCACAGGCACCGCTATGGAAAATGTATTAGGCTGGTCTAGAATATGCAACTGCCGCCAGGATACTCGGTGACCCACGTCTCAGTCTGGAACTGGCCATTTATTTCGCCTTGGACTGTATTATCCATCTCTAGAGGAATCTCTATTAGGCTACTCCTATTCTGAGTCTCAATTAGTCCAGTATTGAGGGTGTTCGGAGCAATCTTGGAAAACAGCGTGTAGGCCCCCATGTTTCCCCGCACTTTACCGCCCATAGGTGGACTAAAATTGTTGCGTGAAAGGGGAGCCCTCGCGTATCGAAGATTTCCCGTTTCATTTAGTATCTCCTCTACATCCAGCATCATCCATATCTGGTTAGCTTTATTTTTAAAAGTCAGGATAAACTCTGGTCTCCACTATTTCTGGAGGCAGTCTATTCCGGTAAAGCCCGAAGCATAGCTAATTTTAGTGCGGAATATCACAGATTTTAAAATTTGAGCAAATATCAGTCAGAGACTTTGCCAAGTTCATGATCAATCATAGCCCCCGCTTTCTAACTCTAAGGTCATAGACACGTACATTAAGTCACTACCCCGCGGGGGATCATTTATCCTTCTTGTCGCATCGAGTATATCTGCGCCTGGTTCACATGACCTATCCTAGCTTGGCCTATTTTCCGCAAACAGCAATTCTAACTCTAGCTAGATTTCCCAGTGGCACAGCCGCATCAGTATTGGTTATCTCGTGTAAACATGACCGCACCTGTAATATTTATGTAGCAGCCGGGTGATCATTCTTTCCAAAAAAAAGTACCAATAATCCGGGCTCCAATTTTCCGTGATAGCAGATCTCAACTTTAAATGTGAAGGGCTCGTAATTCAGTATGAAACCTAGCTCCCACTTCGAAACCTTAGTGGGTACTGTTCCGACTTTAAAAGCAAATGCCACGAGTATACGATAAAGTTTTTTGGCCGACTGATTCAGGTCTAGCCCCAACCATCCGATATATCACATCTGGGTTTGAGTTTCTACAGTTTAGGTATATATAACCTTTGACTCGCTCGAGCGGATCACTTCTCTTAGACCGGGATGCCCCCTCCTGGTCAGTACTTTTTCTCCCCATCTGGGAGCTTGATTAGGGAAGAATCTACTTACGCTAGCTTGTTATGAACCGTATGAATAATCGCCTGTTATAGTAACGCCATACAAGCTTCTAATGGATTTCATATCCCTCTCTGCTGAAATCTACTTCACTGGCGTTCGTACGAGATTGCTTCTCACACTGTGCTATCCGAGGGATCTTATGGTTGGAGTTTGACAACAAATCTGGCCATTGCGGATGTCGTTCGGATACAGTTCGGATGTCTGTACCCCCGTCAAAATCCTGTACTCTTGATCGGGAAGTCAGCCCACATGGTAGAAACTCCGAAAAGCCGTACACCGTGCATGACACTAAAGCGGGGAAGCTTTTGTTAGTCTCGATTTTTGTGGGGTATACATACCCAACACATTCAATTACCTGACTCCCTGGTGGCCTGCACAAGACATTCCACATGTACACAGAAAACACTCCAGCTTTATACGGAAGAAGCTCCACATGTATACACGATGTATGAACGAAAATATAATACCAAACTGCCCAGATAGCTACTTTAGAACTACCCCCCCCCCCCCCCCGATGTGAAGCCAGTTCAATGGGTTCCTGGCAGCGCCCTAACTCTGTAATTGGCAGTGCTTGCTGAAGCTAGTCATATAAAAAATAACAGGAATCCACAAAACCAAAATTATAGGTAGATATAGAGACTGTGGGGTTGGGGCTTGGTTATCAATCCTCTGGAACTGCTTCCTTATATATATATTACATTCATCGATTTCTCTTCTCTTTCTACGCTTATGGGCCATGACTCGCCAATATACGTAGCTCGTAATTCTTGGACTTTACAAATTCAGCCATACTTCGTGGTCTTTCCGCGAAACTGTCCGGTAGTCATATAGTTAACGTCAAACGTCTATACATATGCAACCCTCTCCGGTATGATCTATTCGGTGCGGGCAAAAATAACCCGTTAACTATGAGCCTGCTTCTCTACTGGGTCACATTGTGGACGAGGTAATCAGCCTGCAAACCACTGAAATGCTGTCACGAATCTAAAATCTGAACCTTGAAAGATTTCAGTTTGCCGTTTCATCAGAGACTCAGGCCAACAGGCTATAAGTGGCCCATTTGGTACCGTTCCCCACAACCCATTTAGGCTGCATGTAATTTCAAGTTCCAGCACAAGACATCGATGGTTGATCTCTCATGAAATACTTAATATTCGATTTTAACCGTTTTAGGTAATTATTTCAATTTTGTGATAGAGTTTGACCCAACGGAACTGGCTGTTGCAGGACTGCTTGAGATAGATAAGGATGGCTACCAGGGGGGGGGGGGGGGGTTGAATATTACCCTTTCGGGATAAAGTGTGACCTGCATGATGCAACGTCACTATCTTTTACGCGTCATGCCTCATTACTGAGACGCACCAAGCCCCTTGCACACCCCTTGCGCTAATAAAATCACCGGGTTAGGGCCGGAATACGTTATCCAGCAGTAAGCAAATCTAAACCCCTGTCACCCTAGACCACTCCGGATAGTGTCCAGTTTGTTCGTAACTCTTACTAGACATAGTTGAACGGCTTACAAGTACGGGGTTTGAACAGGGGTACCTTATCAAGATCTTGTGACAGGCGCATTAGGAACAAAATTCAGACTTTGACTTGGGGCTAGTCAGATATCGTGGTCGACCAAGCTTGGCAAAACATGCATGCTCCTCAGGATTTGGTTCAAATCCTAGGCGTCGAGCAAAGTCTTTAGGGTATGGATCACCAGTGAATACGATATCAGGTGGAAAACAATGAATAGGGCTTCACGGGATCAATATCCACGTGATTCTACCGCTCACTTTTTCCCCGGTCTTGTTAACTGTTCTGTTCATCTATATAGGCTAACTATAGCTATTCAACCCAGAAGGCCTAGCCAGGGTTGCGCTATATAACCTCGCCAGGCGCTTGGATTGCTACAATATTGCTATTTCCATCCATGAAGCTATCGATATAGCTGGCAAAATATCCATTCTGGGACTTTAAACGTATCCAATACCATGCAAAGGAGCGCACATTATGCAAGTTACATCTTGCGATCGACAGTGAGAAAGTACATATGATTTGGGCAGTTTTGAGGCTCAAGAGTGGTATTTTTGCGATTAATCGGGAAGAACATTCTTACTATTATTTCGCTTCGGCTAGGTTTTAGTTTCGCGTGTATCCAGTTGAGGCTCAGCACGGCATATTAGGCGACAGTTTGTTCCAATACATGCATAATCGTACCCCATTCCATTAGTGCTCTCGTGAGGAGATAATATGCCATGCTACGCAACAAATCTGGAGCTCCTGGAACAAATCGTACGAGGCCCGAAGATACCAGCGATCCGCATATAAAACTCTCTGAGTTATTTCTTGGATGGTCTTCCATAGAAAGTTTAGCAAGCACATCTAGCCAGCTTTGTCCATGTAACCCGGTAGAAGTCTATGGCTGATTGCATCCACCCCCCGCATTTCAACGATCAAAGTTTGTCGTAGAGCCACTTTGTATCCGTGGGGCTGGGACTTGTCTGTGTTCTTGCCCCAAAATGACTGACACTGCGTGTCATACATATATTGATGCATTGTTACGCACGGCAAGACTCCCTTAGCCAGCGAATGTGACGCGTCGGCAGACCTGCCGCTTTCCAAACGCGTCCTTGTGCATACAGCGTGCATATTGGACGGTATCACAGCAACCCTGTACACAGCTGGCTCAAGACTCCACTGAAATACGATCCGCGAGGGCAAATCTCAGCAAAACGTCGAGCGAGCGAAGTGAATCACTTTATCGCAGAAATATATATATCCAACCACCTGTATTCTCCAGATACTTCCCTAAAGATTGCCAAAAAAATATCCCACCACGCTCTTTCCTTGAACACAAAACCTCTCCAAGTACCTCTTTCAGTCTCTCGTGATACATATCGCCTCGCCAAAGCAGCTTATCCCCTCTATATACACTCAGTCCCCCTCCGTCAGGTGCTCAACAACAACCCATTCGATTCCATGACACCACACCCTACCTTAAACCCGCCGCTTCCGATTTCGGCCGCGTACCGCAAAGGTTCGAACATCCTGATCGAGTCGCCGGTAATTTCCTCGTTCAAACGCAAGTTTTCTGACTTGCACGTAGGTCCTAGCAATCACTTGTCACTCAGCAGACCCATGACTCCGATCGACCAGACAGGACAGGCCCAGTTCTCGTTTGGTGATGACTACACCGGGGCTGCCACTCCCAATGAATCGTACTTCCCCGTGTCAAAAAAGTTTTTACAAAAGAATAGCCACGATTATTTCTCCGCTAACCCTGTTGGAAACTCGGGGGTTCCCGGAACCCCTGCCTTTGAGGAGTCCAGATGCATGCCCCCACTCTTACGCAACGACAGCAGCTTATCTGTCTCCTCACTGATAGCAGACTTTCCGATGCAAGACCGGAACTGCTCCGTGGTTGACTACACAGTCACATTTTCGGCCAAGTTTGACAGGGTGTTGATGCGTGACTATGAACAGATCATCAACGACCCGCAATCCACGCCTTTCCACGGTAAAATCCCACCGTCGGGACTTGTCAGCGGCCTCACCAAGCGCGTTTTGGCCCAGCTTATCCCTTCCACGCCAGACAACCAGAGCGATGCGCTCGAGGAGTTCCGGGGATACTTTACCAGCGCCAATTCTCCAGACATCATCATGGAGCTCTTTGAGAACAAGCCGTTATTGCTTGCCTTGATCCGCAAACGCTTGTTAGACACCTGTACGGGCCAGAGTCTGGATTCCACCATGATCCAGATGCCGGGCCCTTCTTCCAGTGCCTCACGGTTTTCCGGCTTGAGCGACCCGTTGCACAGCTTGTCGCTCCTGCGGCTGAACTCCCTTAGCCGTAACAGCAGTTTCAGCGGTGTCGGTAACCTCGGGCGCCAGCACTCCAACTCCTCGTGGCTCCACGTGGGCAATTTTGGGAAACTCCAGGCGACGGCACACAATAACTGGTCGAGCGAGTCCATCGGCGGCCCTCCTCCGCTCCGCAGATCCCGGAACGACTCGCTGGCCTCGGTCAGCTCGTTCAACGGGCTTTTGAAGGATCCGCTCTTTCCTCCACAGCTGTTTTTTGCCACTCCTCCTGCGTCCATAAAGTCGCTGATGGACCTGACGGGATCCTACGAACCAGATGTCTTTTCGCGCAACCAGGTGTTTGATTTGGGTTTGGAAGAGGAGCTCGACTTTAGTGCGTCCTCCCCTGTTTTTGCCCCAAGACCCGTGACTGAAGAAACCCAGCCGAGAAAGGTTGAAGGTTTGCGGGTGTGTACTCGTCCTATTACCCCCGCCAACACTGCCGGTTTGAAGCAAGGCCTCGAAAATGGCCTCCCTGCGGTAGATCCCTTGCACCGTCCATTGAGTCCGACGCTTTCTCCCGAGGTGCAGGAGGAGTGCACCTTGCAGAGAACCAAGTCGATTCATCGCAAGAAGTCGCTCCCTCGGTTATTGATGGACAAGCTTGGCTACCAGAAGGATGACGAGGACGTGTTGTTTGATGGGGAGTTGACGAGTCAACGCAAGCGCGACAGTTTGAAATTGAAGCGGGGGATGCATTAATGATTCCCTGTGCTGTAGAATGTGTGTTTATGTTTTGTACGTTGTATTTTTGCGTTTCTGGGTTTGGAGGGATTTTAGACTTGTACTATATAATATTATGATACCCTATTTATATTTAGAATATTTTCCGAGCCCATTATGATTGATATTTAATATTGCACTTGCAACATTGAGGTATTCTCAGGTTTTAAACACAGGAAAAGGTGATATATATTTACATGTGTACATATATATATATGACGATATACACCTGACCGTGCAAAATCTTAGAATAGACACTATTGAGAATTCTAAAGCTTGAGCGTATACTTATGAAATTGGAATATGTATACGTGTTAAACTGAGATGAATATTTGACATGTACATACACCATCGCTTTATGTTTATAGTTAATGCCATGTCCGAACATGTGAAGCTCGGAGTTTCAGTGCATAGAATCGTGTACTCGCTCAAGTCAGGTCAACGACCTCAATAATTTATCTTAGCCATTACGTTCGAAAATCAATCTTTATAACTAAACAGAGACTGGGCAGCTTGTATTTAATTATTCATTTCTTTGCATTGTGGGCGTACCTTGAGCCCTCTTGAAAACTACACCCGGGCCACGGAAGTGCCCACCAAGCGTTACCCGGATGCGCCATGCTGAAAAACTTTTTGGCATATAAATATTGCAGCTTTCCCTTCTCTTCAAGACTTCTATCAATAGGACATCTAAAAGCTACCAACCCACGAACCTCATCCTATCTATTATATACGTCTCAATAAAAGATCACCTCAAACCCTTTGGTACTACGGTTCTATTTTCTCTTTCGGTGTGATCTCATTTCTAATCATCACATCTTTTCTTTTCTCTCCTGACTTTTTCGAAGATCCTTTTACCTATATTCATCCGTGGTATAATGATTCAAAAAGAAGCCCAGATCAAATGTCAGTTCTTTTCATTGTTTTTTCTTACTAGACATTGGGTAGGACCTTTGTCGCTATGGGAGAAAACGGTAATGGTATAATGCCATTATTTTGGAGAAAGCTTATACATCCACTCATTTATCCGTACTTTGCCGTAAACGTAGGCGACTGAACCCTTTCAGCAAGTTTTCCACTTAGTTTTTTTACCCGATCCAGTGGCGTTAGATCTCAGCCCGCTTATTAATCCGGTGGATGTGCGGCGCCGGGTGTACCGAAAAGCTTCACTGAAAAATACCTAGAAAGATTCCTACCTTATTTGTAAGGCAGCGCAGTCAACCTACTGGAGCTTCGTATAGATCGTTATGCTTTCTGAACCGAAACCGTCAGCCGTGGACGAATCTGTGCCACCCGGCATGCCCGAGTTTGGCCCCACCGGTAGAAGAATCATCTACAAGGATGGCAAGCCGTAAGTGACTAGCCTTCCAACACTGGATTGCAACTAACCCTTCAGATGCCGCTCGTGCAACACCCTACTTGATTTTCAGATGGCCATGCCCGGCAAGGCTGCCAGACCTGCTGTTATTGCAGCAGATCTGACAGCTCCTGTCACTGTCGTCGAAGACAAGCAATGCCCGCCAGACGTTGAGCTCCTCGGGCGTTCCTCGTGGACGCTTCTCCACTCCATCGCCGCCAGCTATCCCGCGAACCCATCGCCAATCCAGCAGGAGGACATCAAAACGTTTGTCTCCATCTTTTCGCGCATCTACCCGTGCTGGTTCTGCGCGGACGACTTCCAGGCCTATATCAAGAAAAACGAGGTTCAGGTCAAGTCTCAGGAGGCGTTTGGCAAGTGGATGTGTGAAGCACATAACGAAGTGAACAGGAAGTTGGGCAAGAAAGAGTTTGACTGTAACTTGTGGCAACAGAGGTGGAAGGACGGGTGGAAGGGCGACAACTGATTAGGCGATTTTTGTACATACGCCGAGATAATTAGATATACATGTTAAAGTATGTTCTTTCAAATACGATTATATACAGATAATTGTTGGACCAACCATGACATGCCACATTCCCTGTGCTTGATTATTGGGCTATTCATTCGGAAAAATTGTATTGCGTATACATCCTTGCTTTCTGGGTTCTTTTCTCAACTCGCTAGATGTCAATACTAGAAATTCGCTCACCCTTTTGGTAAGCCTCTAAAGATCCCTGAGCGTCTCACAGACCCACAAGTGAAGCTTGACAAATAATTTCTCATCTTTCATCAACTCAACAAGAGATCGTGGTTTAACGGCGGAGCGGCGGAGGAAGCGCTCGTTGTGGATCTCGCCGTCGTGCTCGTCCGCGCTCACCTTTTCAAGTTCTAGCGCGCGGTCGTGGAAATACTCGATCAACTGGTTGAAGCTCTCGGCAACTATATCCCACAGTTTCATGAGCGCCTGTTCAGCGGCACCGCGGGCGTTCAAGATGAGTGCGTACTTGCGCTCAGCACCGCGTGCGGTAGGATCGCGCACGCGGAAGATGCGCACAAGTGAGTAGCCAGTCTCGGCGTCACCGAACATGAGCGGCTGTGAATCTGTCGTGGTTTCCGCCGAAAGCGACTTCATCACAACCTTTTTGAGTCCCGCAAACGTGGCGGGGTGTGTGGGGTACTGCTGCGAGAGGAAGCTCTGCGAGCCGGCTGCCGTGGTCATATTTGCCGCGTTATCTGGGAGCATGAGCTTACAGGATGCGCATGTCTGGAGGTTGGCGTTAGGCAGGAGGAGTGAGTCGCGTACCGCCGTCGCCGCGACCGCCTGTGTACACATGATTGTCGACGGGCCGTGTGCCTCACAGAAGTGCGCAAGGCAAAACGTGTGAGTGGTCATACAAGCTGTTGGTGTGCTTGGGGGATACTCGGGTGGTTATGGGTGCAACAGGGTGCCAAGACGATGAAGAGTAAGAGGGTTAGTGCTGGGAGGCTACGTCACTGCTACAAGTAGCGGTCAGTCCAGGCAGTGTGGTCGGTACAGCGTAACTTGATAGTACAATGTGGGCGTTAAATGTAATAGGATCCTATCTAAACTAACCCTATGAGTGGGACCAGGTATGGCGTTTTCAACGGTTTTGTAAGATTGGCAGTGCAAGAATGGGGTGTACGCATGCATTTCAATGTCCTGTATAGAAGCGCAACATCCGAATCGCAATAATACGTACCTTGGCTTTACCGTTTACTATCTTACGTTGTTATTGGTATATCGTTGTCTTATAATGACGGAACCCGAACCCCCGGCTTTCCGCTGCCGAGTATGTGTACGCTTCCGAGTGCGACGTCAAAATACTAACAAGGCGAAATGGGGCTCCATTTCCGATAGAAGCGAATCAGACACCTTAGGGCGATATATGTCAGGAATCTATCCATGGATGAGACAGGGGAAGAAGATTCCCGGGGATGTGGAAATGTAGAGGAAAAGAGCGTGAAGGGTGACCAGATGGGAAATATCTTGCATGGTACAAATGTCTCGGGTATCCCCAACCCCGCTACAAACATCTCTATATCCAAAAAATCCACAAAGATCTACGAAGATGTCTCCAAGTCCGTTTCAGGTGGTACACCCAAGGCCCCAGATACCTCTGATATATCCATACTGATACCTGATGATGCCGTCTCTGATGTAGCCAGAGCAATCTCTGAGCTCAAAACCACCTCGGATGACACCTTAAGGCCTACAGATATCACCAATGAAGATAAAATCATCCCCAATCACACAAAGGAAACTAGAACCATCTTAGATACAAAGGAGGCCAGACCCATCTGTGACAATGCCAATGGGGCAAAAGCCCTCTCTGGTGATATGAATGGGCCAAGAGCCGTTTCAGGTAATACCCATGCCAGTTTTGGCTCTATACCCACCTCTAATAGCATCCACGGACCTAGCGCCTTAAATACCGAAGAGCCGTTGACCATTCAAGACGGCCCCAACCAAAGCATTTCAGGCTCTAGAGCCATTTTCGACTTTCCCAGAGCCCATCCCACCGCCCTCCAAGCGGCGTTGCATCTGCTCAATTCTCGTAAACTCGGTATTGACAGCTTCTACTCCCTCCACCCCCTCTCCTCACCCAAACCCTTATACATTAGCGAAGTCATCCCCCAGGAAATTAACCCCGAATTCCAGGTCATGGACCTTTCTGGCCTCTCCTGTTTGATGAAACGCTCTGGCGTATGTTTCAAGCTCTGGGGCCGCCGCCACGGGGCCTGGGCCAACGTCTTGACTCTCAACTTGGACTTGAATCGATTAGTAAGAACTTGCGAGTCCTTTGGAAAGATGACCGACCCGAATACGGTCATCTTCCAGCTCAGTGACGGGCTCTACGTGTTGCCAGACTCACCATATGCCATTTCAGATCCTTCTGAGGCTTCTCATTCCATTTTTGGCCGAAACTATTCCATCGTTCGCGATTCGTGCTCGTTTGACGCGATAATGAAGATGGGCAACCTCCAGCAGTTTATCCGCGATGTCCAAATCTCTAAGTGGGACCAGATTAGCCAGATCGACGCCAGACTAAATGGCGAGGAAATGATTCAAGCAAACACCTTGGAGAATTCCGCCCGCAAAGTCGCTCTTCTCAAGAAACTCGTGGACGAGGAAAAGATACGGGTCTACGGACTCAGCGAAACCATAGAAAGAGCCAGAAACAACATAGAAACCAGTCGTCAAAAGTTTTCTGTGCGATCCACTATAAAACTAAACGAAGCCAAGCAGATTTTGGCCCAGGAAAGAGAGGAATTTGGTGGCTTGTTAGCCAACCACCACCAGATCAACGAAGCGGTTCCGCTTGAGCGCTCGGAGCGGATTGCAGCGTTACTTCGCGTGTATCCCATCAAAAAAGGCCCGGAAGACCACCGTCTTTTCAACTTGCTGGTACCCCCGGACTTTGTGAAGACGGTTGTTGCGCCGTTTCTTGAGATGGAACACGTCCAACCCAGCAATCCCCACATCGGTGTTACCATGGGGGAAGTTGATGCGGTGCTTGGATACATTGTGCAGATACTTCTAGAGATCGAGGCGGTGACCCTCATCCCGCTCAGATACCCCCTCCGGTATATGGGTTCAAAATCTGTCGTCAGTGACCCAGTCGCCGCCGCGTTGTTCCCTCTCTGGTTCAAGGACTCTAGTGGTGGTGGCGTGGCGTGGCTCAAGTTCTGCCGGGGAATCTTTTTGTTATACAGCGACATCAGACAGGTGATTTATGCCCTTCAGCTCCCGGAGAAGGACAGTACGGATTTACTAGGCATGGTGAAGGGCATCTGCGATGTCTTGAGACGAAAAGATGTACTCGGTGACGGTGATTTCCGCATCAGCGCGGATCCACGTCCGTCTGTACCTCCCAGCATGTTTGCCCATCTGGTATCTTCCAGTAGTTGGGGGCTCCGGTTGAAAACGTATGGAGTAGAATAGATTTTTTTTGAGTGTAAACTGTAAACTATTGTGTACAGCTACTGAGGCTCAAAGAATTCGATATCCGATGGGTTCTGTCAATATCACAGACTTCAGATGCAGACCATTCGGGGGCTCCATGTTGCTAAAGCTAGCTTAATTGAAGGTGTACATAATAAATTGAAAGGTCTGTCGGTTGAAGAGTCTCAGTGTATCTGAATTGACTTTATCCACTCAACCAATAGCCTGGGACTAATCATGACAACTACAGATCCAAATAACTTGCTACCGTTTCATTATCGATAGTTTAAGGTGGAAAAATATGTCTAGGTGCTGGTTAACATCAAGCTAACGCTGCTTTTCCCCGGTCAAAACGCAATTCTGCTTTCACAATGTCTGAAACCTGGATTTCCAGCTGTAGCCTCAGTGTTGATTCGGGGAACTCACTATATCTGCCCTTTATTTCCTCAGGATGGAAAAATCGTCTGGGAATCCGAGTTTGCTTGATTATTTTCAATTTGTGCCAGAAAAAAATATGATCTATAACCACTCTTCCAAGTCGTACAGGTTTGTCTTGTGCGATACGTGGGTGAAGAGTTTCCTCAAACGGAATCTGGCAAGGGGAACGACCAGTGTCAAGACTTGCTGTTCGTAACCTCGATAATAGCACTGTCCGAAAGCTCTATTTTAGTGTTGACACTTTTCGTTTCCTCGTTCTCTTAAACAGTCCTTAGGAGCCTATTACTACCTGTCAATATAAATTGAGTACAAGGGAGATGAGTCCTAACCCTCCGATACCCATTTAAACCTATATGAGAGTATTGCATCGTCTGAGATATCCCTGCTACCAATGCTGTGGAAAAGTCCTAACCAGGCTGAGATTGCTGGAGGATGGTCTTACCTTGTCATTAAGCTAAAGCATCACCCAAACTCAATCTGAATTTTTGATTTTCACGTCGACCGGAAAAATAATCCCGATCGCCTTTTGTCTGGTGGGAGAACATGCGATAAGGAAATATAGATTGAGATAAATTTCAATTGCTTCTGGAGTCGCTGATGCCGTATGACAAGATGGCCACTTAACAAAGATTTTATCATTATTAATGACCTTCAAAAGCCTTGGCAAGTCTTGGAACTGTGAAAGGCTTGGAAGTGCGCGAAACGCCAAGAACGTGTACTCGTAAAACTCAGTTGCAAATGCGCCAGTAGTGTTAATGCGTCGCAGAGTTTAACTGGCATAGTTCGACGCTTATTTTCGAGCTGAGGGTTTCGTGGGGTATGTGCAAGATCCATCTCTGGGAATAAATCATTTTGGTGCTTCGCATACAGTACAGTGCTTTCATTGCGGATAGCCTCAGTCCTACGCCTATGAAGGTGAATTATACGCAATGTGCTAAATACAGACGGCGTACGATAATGGCATGATCAAAGTTCTAAAAAAACTCTTGCCACAGTGACTAACCCAACGAGTCTTTGACATTGAAATTAGGCCCTACATATGTCTAATTGGGGATATTTAACGAGTCTTGTCATTAGCCTGCTTGGGGCCAAGAAGATGGGTTTAGCAATAGTGTAGCTATTAGCTTAGCCAGTTCTAAAACTCTGGGCTGGTTTCCCGATTGACACGCCTTATTTCCTTTAGCCAGGAAGTGCCGAAATCATGCACCCGCTACCGACCCTACAGGTATCACACCAAGCACCCTTGTATTTTTATTGAGCTCTTTACCTGAAAGATCTAAGCACGACGATCTGAGATATAATACTTTGCATTATTGAAATGCCTTTGGGTTTAGGTAAGCTTATCTAGGAGATACAGCCTTGATAACGATGCCAGCGGTCTTGGTCGTACAAATGTAGATTGTGTTTGGCCTGGTTGTCAGATGCCGAAAAGCGTGCAGGAATTTCGCGGGCATACCCTGGCCGTGATACGCACCTGCCAACCATAACAGTGAGTTGGCGTTCACCTGAAGGCATATTAAATAGGGGTTGAGAGTCATATCCGTTAGCTAGTGACTTAACGGTGATTTATCGCGTGATACGAGGATATGCTAGTAAAGTGAAGCCCAATCGGTATTGCATGTGGGGTCTTCCAGACGATACCAACTTCCCGTACCACACCAGCGCGCCAATCCCTTCCTGATCTCTGCATAGAGGCCTTTCTAAAGCTTAAGCCTCGCATCCGGCCTCACCAGCACCACCAATCATTTTTAAATTCCTTGGCATTTTTGGGGCCGTACAATGCTGCGGGTATTTTCTTTGAGAGGTTGTCTGCGTTTGGCCCATCTGTCGCAGGAGATAAGGAGGCTGGGGTTTTGAATTCGGGGGTCCAGAGGTGCCACACTAGGAAGAATATCTTGGCATGGAATGTCATAAAAAAGATAAGCACAGTGCCATAGACATTAGCGTTCAAAGTCATGTAGAATATGTAGTCTTCTGGCCGAAGGGGATTTTATGCCAAGAATTTGTTGGAGGGGTGGTCGAGAGGTAAATCAACCCTAAGGATGGGGGGATAGCTATGCATGAGTATTACCTATAAGACCATAATTATTGGCTGGAAATGTACCCTCCGGGTGCATTGAATTTATTGCACCGAATTTTTGTGTTGGAGATCTTGCGTTATTACCATGGCTGAACGGAATGACTCAAAGCATGGACCCTGTAAAAACCTATAGATACGGATGTAACACGGTACAATAGAAAACCAATTGGCATACCTGACCTTCGGCGACATGGGTGTTTTCCTGCATGCCGATTTAAGGCCTCAATGACTGTCAAGCTTTGTACGGCGTCGGCCCTTTACAGCCACGGCCCTCACCTGATAAGAGTGTGGGACAATAAAGCTTGGATGTTTGTGAACTGGAATGCAGAATCGATCACCATGCTGATACTGACACGCGCTAAAGGCCTGGACACATGCATGAACCTAGGGTAGATCTGTGTATCGGGCAGCTGCGTGCACTCAAGATCGTACGGCTTCGGTTATACACTATCGAGATATTAACTCCACCAAACTGCATTATCCATGTGTGATAGTTACCTTTGATGTCGCAATCTACTCACCATCCCCTCACCCTGTATGTGTTTAATTTCCGCGACACGTACCCTACCAAAAAGATAACAGGCTTATCCACCTCTTCGATTGCGTGACCATTACCTTCTAGATATAATTCGGTAGCGGAAAAATAGTATATATATCCACTTAATCCTCTACTGTTTTCACCCTTCTCCTTCAAATCATTCATTCAATAACCGAAAAAGCCTGCTTTCTGTCTCATCCACACTAGGCTACTCTTAACCCTATTTATCTTTCGATCCGTATTCCCCTTTACCCACCATGGAAGCCGTGACATCTGGGACCTTGGACGATCCAAACGATCTCATCCTTCAGGCCATCACCTCCAACCCTTTGAGTCTCGGTGAGGTTGGTCGCACCTTGTCCTCCGATCAAAAATTCCTTGCCTTGCAAAGAACCGGACATTCGGGGTTGCAAGACTTGGATGACATTCCACCGGACGCAGCTTATATGCTCACAAAGATCGACGAATTATCAGTACAAGAAGCCTTGGCCATCTTGCAGGAAGCTATCGTGTACCATGGTGACGATGTCAACTTCCCTCACGAAGTGATGGAAAAGATTGTTGATTTGGTTGACCAACACTACACTCCAGTAGATCCTTCGGGGTTTGTGATCACCGGTTCCAGCGAATCAATTTCTGGAGCTCAGCGTGACTCTGACGAAGGCGGGAATGAGAAATTAAAATCTCAGGCTCAACTACACTTTGATCTGGAAGAGAAAAACTCTGGTAACTACTTGGATGACTGGGAGTTTGAAAGTAAGATGGAAGCCGCGTTGATCGCCTTCCACTCGCCTTACCCCGAGGTAAGAGCCGTGACCGATCCGTACGATGACCCAACTATTCCCGTAGAAACATTCAGAGCGTACTTATTGATCATTGTTTGGACGATTCTTGGATCTGGTATCTATGAATTCTTCCGCCACAGAAATCCGCCTATCACCCTTCCAACGTCTGTTATCCAAATCTTCTTGTACCCGCTCGGGAAGTTCATGGCTGCAGTTTTGCCAGATTGGGGATTCACTATTAAGGGCCAACGTTATACCATTAACCCAGGTCCCTACACCTACAAGGAGCAGATGTTTGCAACCGTCTCGATTTCTGTTGCCGTAGGCGGCGCTTACGTTTCCTACAATTTGTACGCCCTTAAGTTGGACATGTTCTACGGTGTCACGTGGGCCGGCTTCGGATATCAGCTTTTGTTGATTTTGTGTACCCAATTCATGGGTTTCGGATTTGCTGGTATCTTCCGCAAGATTTGCGTCTACCCTGTCCGCGCCATGTGGCCTACTTTATTACCCACCTTGGCATTGAACAGGGCTTTGTTGAAGGACGAGAAGCGCGAGATCATCAACGGCTGGAAGATTTCCCGTTATAACTTTTTCTTCTTGGTCTCGAGTTGTTCGTTTTTGTATTTCTGGTTTCCAAACTATCTCTTTGAAGCTTTATCCACCTTCAACTGGATGAACTGGATTGCTCCAAACAACTTCAACTTGGCTTCCATCTCCGGTTCCCGTTATGGTTTGGGCGTCAATCCTATTTCAACTTTTGACTGGAACGTACTTCTTAATCTGCCTCTTTCCGTTCCATGGTACTCTAACGTTAACCAGTATATTGGTTCTATTATTGCCCTCTTTGCTATCATCGGTGTCTTTTGGTCCAACTACAAGTGGTCGGGGTACTTACCTCTCAACTCTAACAAGATTTTCACAAATACTGGAAAGAGTTACGTCGTGACCGAAGTATTAACCAATGGGTTATTGGATACTGAAAAGTATCAAAAATACTCACCTCCTTACTATGGTGCAGCAAACTTGGTTTTATATGGTGCGTTTTTTGCCATCTATCCGTTTTCCATCATTTACACCTTTGCGAATGAATGGGCTGGTATTTCCTCGTCGTTCAAGCAAATTTGGCATGCCTTCAGGGATTTCAAAAGGTCCAATTTTGCTGGTTTTAACGATCCCCACTCAAAGATGATGTCCAAATATCCCGAGGTTCCTGATTGGTGGTTCTATGTTATCTTGGTATTTGCGATCGTGATGGGTATTCTCTGCGTGCAGTTGTACCCAGCACAGACTCCTGTCTGGGGTATCTTCTTTACTATTGGGATTAACTTTGTGTTCTTGATTCCCATTGTCCTTATTTATTGTGTTACTGGTTTTCAGTTTGGGTTAAACGTCCTTGTGGAATTGATCGTTGGTTATGCCATACCCGGGAACGGTATTGCCTTGATGACATTGAAGGCGCTTGGTTACAACATTGACGGACAGGCTGAAAACTATCTTTCAGATCAAAAGCTTGCGCACTATGCCAAAGTTCCTCCCTTAGCTATCTTTAGAGGCCAAATGTTGGCTACTCTTATCCAATGTTTTGTTACTTTGGGAGTCTTGAACTGGTCCTTATCCAATATCGAAGATATATGCACTACTAACCAGCCTCAAAAATTCTCGTGTCCCGGTGACAATACTTTCTTCTCTGCCTCTGTGTTTTGGGGTGTGATTGGTCCAAAGAGAGTCTTCAACGGTTTGTATCCAATCTTGCAATGGTGTTTCTTGATTGGTGCCTTGTTACCTATTCCATGCTTAGTGTTCAAAAGATGGGGCCCTAAGTACTTGACCAGAAACTTCCAGCCAACGTTGATGATTGGCGGGATGTTGATTTACGCCCCTTACAACTTGAGTAACTACACTGCAGGTATGTACATTGGCTTCGCCTTCATGTACGTGATCAAGAGACGTTTCTCTTCGTGGTGGGAGAAGTACAACTACGTGTTGGCTTCAGCTTTGAATGCCGGTATTGCCTTTTCTGCCATCATCATCTTCTTTTCCGTTCAATACCATGCAAAGAACATTGATTGGTGGGGTAACAACGTGCCTTACTTGGGCATTGAAGGAAAAGGAAAGGGAACAAGACAGTCGCTTCTTAATATCACTGATACAGCCAGGGGCTTTTTCGGACCAGAGCCTGGTTCCTACCCTTGATTTTATATATCAATGATATTAGCGTTTTTATATAACAATGCCCTTTTATTGAATTCTTAATCTACTTTCAATGCGTTTCGAAAGTCGTCTGAGATGTAGATTCAAATCAACTTAGAGAGTATAGCTTAGTAATGTAATTCAACATCGATACCAATTCTGGGAGAGGAATAGTATTGACGGACTTGCAGGCGTAGCGATAAATTTTGTATGCCCACCTTTATTCACTCAACACGACATTTCATTTCAGTCTCTATTTATTGTTCAGCACATCCCCGTTTCGGTCTTTCCAGGTCCGAGCAACCTAATATACTTCTCACATTCCGGTAACTCGTGGTCAAGATGGCCGATGGCAATGATGGTCTTGTCGGCAAAGTTGTACTTCAACCACGCTTTGCACTCCTCGATGCGGAGATCGTCCATACACGAAAAAGCTTCGTCTAGGACCAACAAGTCTGGATTCTTAACCACGGCCCTCAAGAACAAGGCCAATTTTTGCTCACTTATCGGAAGTCGCTTGATCGGAGTGTCCTTGTAGCTGGCAAAGTCAAACTGTTCCATAAGAGAAGTAATGTGTTTTGCTTGGTTCTCAGATAAAGTAGGCTTCGTCATGTCACTGACGTGGTAGCCAGTGCCGATAAACTCGTAGGTGGACAAGTGGTCGGGAATGATGGCATGCAATTCGGGGGATGAAAACCCAATTGGCGCGTTGATATCGAAGTAGCTCTGTCTTCCGGTTTTACGCGGCACTCCGTTGATGATAATCTTGGAGTTCCACGATTGCGGGTGATCAGCGGTAATGAGCGCAAGGAGAGTTGACTTTCCTGTCCCGTTATCTCCTCTCAAATGCCACTTCTCGCCCTTGAAGACCTTCCACTGCAAGTCTTTTATAATCTCAGTTCCACGGTACGCTACCGAAATCTTGTCTATGTGAATATGAGCGGGAGACGTTTCTGAGCTAAGAGCCTTCGGTTGAGGCTGGCGGGTAAACTTGGCAAGCTTCTCACGCTTCAAGGCATCCTCTTGATCCGCAAATTCCTTGACCAACCCCGTGATTTCCTCCTTAGGACCGCTTCTGACCAATCCTGATTTGTCAGTGATCCCAATATGGGTGATCCAGTCGGGTATTTTGTCCTGGTACCGTAAACCCAACACGACGTACGGATCCGGAGACAAGTTGCCCAAAATCTCACTAACCATTTGGGTAGCGGCTGGATCAAGCCCCAAAAATGGATCGTCAAAGATCAAAATCTTTGGCTCATTGAGCAACGCCTTGGCGATTCTGGCACGCCTCATCTGCCCGTTGCTCAACCCCAATGCCCAGCGATCTTCGAGGCCCTCCAACTTTAATTTCCGGAAAACCTCCTTTAACAACGCTTCGTTGACCTCGCGGTTGGTGATTATGTTGTCGCCTCGGACAAACTTGCTCGTGGTGAGATCAAATTCGTCCTTGAAAAACTCGTATCGCGCAGACAAGTGTGCCGTGGGAAGCGCACCCTTAAAGTCTAATAGCTCCACCACAGAGGTAGGCCAGACGGAGTCCTTTAAGAATGGATAGGTTCTGGATAATGCCGGCAGTGGAATATGCTGGGAGGCCAAAACACCCAAAAGATCGGTCTTGCGGGTCCCAGTGATACACCACTTGTCACCCGCCTTGATGGTGATGCTCACAGGGTTTGGAAACACCAACGGCGCTTTTGTCGATCCATGGGCTAATTGTTTGAAAAAAGCATTTTCAAGTCTGATAAGTTCTCTACTCATTTGTCTCGATGAGGAATAGTTTGGGAAGAAAGGAGGTATGTGGTTAGGTCATTTCCCCGCGCAGAAAAAAGACCAGGCGCGTGTATTAAGAGTCATCCAAGGCGCTGGTGTTGGTGGTTACCGGCAATTTTCAAAAAAACCAAAATAAAATCGTATAAGGGTAAAACTCAATGTCTCGGGGTTAAAAGAATAGTTAACTATTTACAGTCTTTATAATGGACATCTCTATAGTGACCGTGAATGGTCCTTGAGACTGCTACGCTGGATCTTACCTTCGCCTTTACCGGCCCGGTGTATGTGCAGGCTGCACGTTATCCCACATACACCCGAATTGACTGCTGAGTGTAAAAGTTGGACAACAACCAAATCTGTGGATTTTTACCCAACTGGCTTTGATATCCCGTTCATAGGTAGTTATTGATCCAGACCATATGTTGGAGATTGAAGCGACGAGGGTATTGATATTAATGGATCGGGAATATCAATAACCTTCAGGGATGTCAGAAAAAAGTGACTTACGATCTGACTAAATATATGATATTCACACATTTCTCATCATACCACTGAAGGATAAAAGACTCGGACATGAGTCCGTTGTCAGTGCAAGGCTGAAATCACGCGCAAATACTACGCATTGCACCATTCAATAGAACAGCTATACTGGAGACTGGTACTAGCAAGAAATGGGAGAGCCAATAACATGACCAACTCTTTAATTATCACATATTTACTATCCAGTGCCGAGCGTATTTTCGTCATGGCGTCTCGCATGTTTTCATTCTTCAACTCCGAGGCAGATAAGGAAACTTGCCATGGTACAAAGTCGAACCTTCAGGCTTGCGCCGATATCGTCCCCAGACCCTCTAAACCAAGATATAAACCAGTTATTTCTCTGCAAAATTAACCCTTGTTTTCTGTTCAATCAACTACAATCAGTATGGACTATGCTTATTATGACCCAGACCTAATCTGGCTTACAAATCTGCCTTTGCGATTGTAGCCGCAGAAACCAACGCGCACGTGAGATGCACGCCACCGGGGAGCGAAGCAAATTGGCAGATCACTCGTTCGGCGCCTTGTGGGTAAACTCTATTACCGTTAACACCCTGAACTGATTTCAGCCTCACGCTAATCGGTTACATCACCTTACCCTCTTTTCTTATCCCACCTTTGCGCTTGCTATGAATTATTCAAACGTTGGGGGCGGCGCCTCCCACAACGTGTCGCACGTGCCGTCTACCTCGAAATCGCAGAATCACCAGAAACAGTTCAAATCGTTGCAGGAGCTTACCGACGTAGTGAACTTGTTGCTCAAGGAGTCCGCCGGTGCCAGTATGAAAGAAACCATCTCAAAGGTTTTGGACTGTTTGGCCACGTTCAAGAAGGAGGCAAAGGCTCTCGCGGACACCAATGACTGCAACTATGAAGAGGCGTTTGTGCACTACAAGTTGGCGTCTATTTGCCTATCCTCGGTCATCCCCAACAGCCCCGACTTTGCCACTTCGCGAAAAGAGTTGCGGGACTTGGTCAGGGAGCTCACCACTCAGACTTTAAAGTTCTCCAAGCAGTTTGACGCCATAAAGCAAACCATTGTCAGCAGTAACCGGCAGAACCTCAGCATGGCAGTCACCAACGCCACCAGCCCTGCTACCCCGGCAAGCCCGACCGGGAGCAGGCCCGACGACCTCGTGTCGCGATTTAACCGGTTGAAGGGTGCCGACTACACCCCCTCCAGCATGACAAGCTTTTCATCGCCGCTTGTGCCAATCAAGCGGGCCAAGAACGATTCCTACACGCATTTAGCACTTGTTACGCCCAATAACGGAGTCGTACATACGCCCGTGCGAACAATACCGCTGGGATCCATTCCCCGCTCCAGATCACAGTCACCTAGCATCCAAACCCTTGCCTCAAAAGATCCCCAGTCGGAAGCCTTCTTTGCCAAGCTCTATGTCAACCTACAGAGCATAAACGGGGGCAGAAACCCACGGGAGTTCCCGCTTATCGAGGCCGAACAGCTCAGCAGCTGTATCCTGGCCCATCCCGAATCCGTGTTGTTGATCGACGTAAGAAACCGCTACCAGTACGATTCGCACCACATTTTGTTCCACAACACCGTCAACATCGAACCCTTGTCGATAAAGATGTCGCATAACGACGCCCAGCTCGACCAGTCGCTTCTCGTGTCCCCGGAGTACGAGCGAAGCTTGTTCGATAGAAGATTTGATTTTGAGCTTATCGTCTTGCTAGACAACGAAGCGGCCGGAAAGTTGTCCCAGATGAACCCGGACTTGGTCAAGTTATTCAACATCTTGACATCGGTACCGTTGAATCCGCACAGCCCAAATAGCTCATTAAAGAGACACCCCGTAGTGCTAAACGGGGGTATTAGTCGATGGACCAAGTTGTATCCATCCACGGTCCACGTGGCATCCGTCCAAAACACCCCGTCCATCCATTTCTCTGCCGCCATAGACGACGAGGACGAGCCGATGACCGATGTCACGCCGCTACACTCCATCCCCGATGCATCGCCCACCTTGCAAAAGGTCTCGTTGGCCCGAAAGCAGGTAGCCAGTGGGAGTTTCTCCTCCGTCGACTCCTATCACAGGGATCTCAACCAGTATCTTACCGACTCACCGCATGAACCACTAGCATTGACCCCACCGGCCAACTTTAAGAAGTTGTATCCGTCCTCCCCCACATACGCCGGTAAGGGCAGGGAAATTCCTTCCTCCCCCAAGGCTCCACCACCTGTCCCCGCCAGAGCCAGCAAAGGACCCGGTAAGCAAACAACTCCCATCGACATTTCCAAGCTCTTGGAGGAGTTCACCTGCGGATTAAAGAATTTGGGAAACTCGTGCTACATGAACTGCATCGTGCAATGTCTTAGTGGGACACCCAACTTGATCTCCTTCTTTCTCAACGGGAGTTTTAAGAATCACATCAACAAGAACAACCGCTTGGGGTCGGGCGGAGTCTTGTCCACCAACTTCAAAGACCTCGAACGTTTGATGCTTTCCAACGACAAGAGCTACGTCATTCCATCTGAGTTCAAGAAGGTTTTGGGCACCTTGAACAGCCAATTTCGGCACTTTGACCAACAAGATTGCATTGAGTTGTTGGACTATTTGTTGGACGGGCTCCACGAGGATTTAAACACTGCAAACAGGGACAAGGCGAAAGCCTTTTTGGAGTTGACCGAGCAGGAGGAGTTGCAGCGGGAGTTGTTGCCAGTGCGGTTGGCCTCCACGATCGAATGGGAGCGCTACTTGAAGCTGAACTTCTCGATTGTGGTTGACTTTTTCCAGGGCCAATACTATTCCCAGTTGCGATGTTTGACATGCAACACAACCTCCACCACGTACAACGCCTTCTCCATTTTGAGTTTGCCGATTCCCAACGAAACCTCCTCGCGAGCCATTTCCTTGGAGCAGTGTCTTGATGAGTTTTGCGCGACGGAAATCTTGGACGGTGATGATAAGTGGAACTGTGTCCGGTGTAAGTCGCCCCAAAGGTCCTCCAAGAGACTACAAATCACTCGCTTGCCAAACGTGATCATCATCCACTTTAAGCGGTTCAAGATGAACCACCAAATGACAAAATTGAACACAATGATCACCTACCCGGTGGATGAGGTGTTGGACTTGACCAATTACTGGCCGACGCCCGTCGACGCCAACGAGCAGGCGAAATTGGCGCACTTGCCCACCAGAAACCAGCACACCCCGTTCAGGTACAAGTTGTATGGGGTGGCGAACCACTTTGGGAATTTACAGAACGGGCACTATACCGCGTTTGTGCACAAGGGCGAGGCTAACGGCTGGTGTCAGTTTGATGATACCACCGTCACGAAGAATGTCAAGCTGCTGAAGGTGATGAACGAAAATGCCTATTGCTTGTTCTACAAAAGAGTGTGAGATAAATCAGAACTAGAGGGTGCATTCTAAAAACAAGACGGCCAAGAGCTAGCATTATTTAGAATAGAGCGTCCCTTATTTGCTAATCGTTGCGTAGAATAGAACCAATTCATACCCCATGCAGAGCACGTGATTGATAAATGTGAACCGATGTGTGTAGGTTGAAATCTAAGGCTTTGAACAGTCACTGCCACAGGAGACACCCAAACCTTTATACACCCTAGATCTACAGAATGCCACCAAAACAGGAAGATCTCTTGACCTTGAAATTAAAACACCTCAAATCCACATATTTCATCAGGGTTCCCCTCACAAAGTCCACCATTGGCGATGTTAAAACGAGACTCACGGAGCAACTCTCCGTCACTGGGGGCTTGAGGCTTGAGGACGGATCAAAGGACGAAGACCTTGACATGGAAATTCCAAAACCAAGCTTTGATACTGGTGACTACGAAAAGGCCCCCGGCGTAGCCAATGATGACAATACCGTGACAAACATCTTGGCCAAAGACATCCAGTTGGCGTTGCCGAACGATAAGATCTTGTCGGCGCACGCGTTGATTTGGTTGCCTGTTGCGGAAAACGACAAGACAAAGCTCGAACTGTTAGAGCTCAGCGAGGGAGATGTCCTAGCCTTCAAGCTTACGCTGGAAGACGAGTTCCGTGTGATTGTCCCGCTTGAGGATGAGGAGGAATAAACTACATGACGACTCATTAGGTAAATGCAAATGCTTAAAATCAATTAGTTTTATTATGCGAAATGACGCGTAGTTGTACAAAATAATAAAGTAATTAACTTAGTTAACCAAGGCAGAAGCGGTGGCGGACTCGTACTTCCAGTTTGGTGGCAAGACGGAGACGGTTCTGTAGTAACGAGCCAATCTGTGGATTCTAGATTCGATCAAAATCAATCTGAACTTAGAGTCCTTGTCCTTTCTGTTTCTTTCCAAGTGCTTTCTGACAGCGACAGCCTTCTTAATCAAACAGTACAAATCTTCTGGGATTTCTGGAGCCAAACCGTTGGACTTCAAGATTCTCAAGATCTTGTTACCAGTGATGATCTGGGTCTTGGAAACACCGTGGGCATCTCTCAAAGAAACACCGATCTGGGATGGAGTCAAACCCTTTCTGGCGTACTTGATGACTTGCTCAATGACGGAGTCTGGGGAAGACTTGAACCATGATGGAGTGTTTCTGGAGTATGGAAGAGCGGAAGAGGAGATACCCTTACCCTGAAAACACTGTTAGTATGGCTGAAAGAAAAACTTACTCAAGAAAAGATGGTATCGTGCAGCATTAGCGATAGCGGATTGTGTACCACAAGGCGGGTGTGCCATATAATAGTGTCTCATAAACCTCCAGCTTGTGCACGTGAGACAGAAGATATCACCCTTCTATTGTCAATCTCAGCACTGGAAGAAAATCACCCTCATTATTGACCATCCAAGCAACCTCTGTGAACCCAGCTACCAACCGCGACGATCCGATTTCCATACTTCTTTTGAGTGGTAATATAGCTATTACACACCTTAGAATGTAAACGACCCATTGTATATAGTTATTCGGTTGCAGTGACAAGGAAAAAGGTGCGATGTACCGGAAGAGTCAAATAGAGGTTATATAAAGCGCAGCTACACCATACTGAAGGAAAATCTTTCGGGTGAAAATTTCTTTTGCGGGGCTCGTAACGTCAAAATTTTTAGTGCTGAAATTTATTATGGCGGAAGAGAAGTTACACATAAATATTTTTTGCTTTTTCAAAAACAGTCACAGCCGCCTGTCGCTGATTTCTGTTTTTGGCAGTATCCATTACAATTTCCCAAAATGGTTTAACCCGCATTGAATCCGGGGATAGGCGTACATCTATTATCCTGGGATATCAAGCATAGTCTCTAGTTCACCAACTTTTCTGGGATCTCATCAAAGTCCTCCTCCTCTTCAATCTCAATGACCCTATAATTGGTTGTGTTAGTAATGTATTCCCGGGGCTTTGAGCTGGATACCCCCCGGCATAGGACAAAGTGACATACCTGGCAACACCAGCTTTCTCTCTAATGAGCTCAACGGCGGCAGCGTACAACATCTTGGTTTCCTGGGTAGAGGTTCTCGGTCTGTAGTATAAAAGCACAAGCGGTGTGGATTGTCTACCATCCTTCAACGTCATGGGGTGGGATAAAACAATGTATCGAGGAGTGTTATCTGGTAGCTCTTCAATGAGATCTTCAAAGGACTCAAAGGCTTCGCCGTCATTTTCAGGCTTTATTTCGTATGTCTTTCTGTCAATCTCGTCTGTTAAAGGTTAGTACTGGTCCGTGTGATGGAACCGCAGATTAGGAACTGACAATGCGCTACTCACAGACAACGGCCTGGATCTTCGGGATTCTGGCACTGCCAAATCTGAATTTACGTAGCGTTGCTAAGGTTTCGTCTGAGAAGGAGTAAAGTTGCGACTATTCTGTTAGTGACCATTAGATCAAGGTGGATTGAGAATGAGGTATTCCAATGCATACCATATGTGACGTTAGGTTTAAAGCCGTATTGTAGAGTGAGCTTGGTAAAATATGGAGAAATAGCTTGTATTTAATTCGTGTAACGCGGTGGATAGATTGGGGAGATACCATTGCGAATAAGCCGCACGGTAGCCACAACACGAGACCTACATTTAGTCCTCAATCCACATACAGCATATTGGCATACCCACATTTATTTAAGAATATCCTGATATTAGGTCTTAGCGATCACTATAAAATATACACCGTCTAGTTGGCAGCCAGGGCTTCCTCCTCCTCAGCAGTGGCTCTCTTCTGCAAGACCAACGGCTTACCGGTGACACGGGTATAGATGTCCTTGATGTCGTCAGTGGTGGTTTCAAAGTGGGAAGAAGGATCGTAGGACTTGGAAATGTAGATGCCATTCTTAGAGCCGCTGTCCAAAGGCTGGTACAATTCGGAGATTCCCATCAACACGTCCTTGGTCTGGCCAATCACCTTGAAGGCCGGATCCAACTCGATGTGCGGACGGTCGGTCTCGCAAACGGTGGAGATGATGGCCAAGTAGTGGCCCTTGGCGCAGACGTTGTGGGCGGAGGAAACGACAGCGATGTAGATATCGTTCTTTCTGCCGACCTGGTTCTGCGGGATGATGATTTGCAACGAGTCGGACTCCGCCGTGTTGGCGATCGGGTGGTCCAAGATGCACATGGCTCTGATAACTCTTTCTCCGGTCTTGGACACTCTGTCTGGGAAGTAAGTAGGGTCGGCAATCACGATTGGAGCTCTGGCGGTCCCCTCCTTGGTCACCACACCGGCAAACTTCTTATCTTCGCCCTCACCTTCGTACAAGATTTCGTCAATAGGAGTGTCCAACATATAAGTACCACCGTAGATCGCGGACAACCTGGCAAACCCCTGTGGCAACTCGCCCAACCCGTACAACGGGTAGAGGTATGGCGACTTACCGCCGCCAAACTTCTTCATCGAGTCAAAGTACAATGTCAATCTGTCATAGGTCTGTCTGAATGGCTCTTGCAAGTAGTCGTCCTTGGACCACAAGGCCATGGCGTGGCCGATAAAGTCCTTGGTACCGCTCTCTAAGCCGTACTTGTAGAAAACTTCGGTTGCAGTGTTCTTGTCAAAGTCAAAGCCGGCGTGGGTGGAAGCTTCGTCTTCCTTGTAGGCGGCAACAAACTCCAAAAACTTCTTCATTCTTCTCTTTTCAAAGATCCCCATCAATGGCGACTTCAAGGCTTCCATCTCGTTGGCTGGCACCTTGGCAATCTTTCCGTCTCTGTACACGTACGAGCCAGTCACCTGCTTGAACTCCACATATCTGGTGACGTCGGTGTGCACTAAGATGTTGGTCAACTCACCGGATGCCATCAAAAACTTTGGAATCAAGTCCACGCACCAGTCACGGTCCTTACCGAGTGACTGATCTGGTTTTCTAGTGGGGGCGAATTTGTTGTAAACCTATGGGGTTAGTGTCAGGTCTGGTTCCGCCGCGTTCATACATACCTGAGTCAAGTTCAAGGAGGCGCTTTCACCACCGTAAAAGTCCTGGCGGTCGATGTGGAGAACCTTCTTGCCTTCCACCGATAATAAACCGGAGAGGACACATTCGGTAAGCCCTAAAAATGGTTAGTAACTGGGTCTCAGCTGAGAGTGTCTCGTTTCTGTAGTTCACGTACCAGTACCTTGAGAATGTTAGTGATGTGTTCGGCTAGTCGGGAGAAGCAACGGGGTACGTACCTAAGACAATAACATCGTAATTTTCATCCATCTTTGTAGTTAATCGGTTCCCTTTATAAATCAAGTATGGTTGGTATAGGAGGCAAGAAAAGTATGGCTCGTAGATGGCTCGCTGTCAAGATGAACACCACGAATGGAATCAGTAGCAAACTTTGTGGTCGAGTGTCCTGCATCCAATCTCCCCGTACACCTGGATTTCGCAAGCCATGAGGGCCTGAATGTCGTGATTTCGCACGTGCGCCTGAACATGGGATAATTGTCATATCACAGAGATGCTGATAAATATGACTCTGCACCTTTAGGGCTAACTGGCAATGGTTAATCTGAATGCAACCAATGGCTGTGTTTCTAGTAAATCGCTTATATCGGGAACCGGATAATCTACGTTTCCCCTTGGCACCACCCATGTAGACCACAGGTGAGAGATAGTAAATTCATCACCTCGACCCTTACAGCGCTAGGTTCTCTATTAGCATATATTCCGTATTTACAAGGGCTAGTCGAGGGTGCTCTGGATGACGCCCTCGACCCTGTTGCCTCGGATCAACTTGTCGCTGGCCAGATCGCCGAAAAAGTCGCTGTTGCGCAACGGTCTGACGTTGATCTTCTTTTCATCCTTGTCAATCTTCTTGCCGTCACGGAAGTTCTGCTTGATGTACTCACGCATAGCGGCCATCGCGGCGTTGCGGCACAACTCTTTCAAGTCCGAGCCGCTGAGTCCCGCGGTGCCCTCCACCAACAAGTTCATGTCAAAGTCAGCGGCAAGCGCCGCGCCGCTCAAGCACACACGCAAGATCTGTAGACGTTGCTGCGCGTTCGGTAACGACACAGCAAAGCGCTTGGGCATGCGTCTCATGAAGGCGCCGTCGATGTCATTCGGGCGGTTGGTCGCACCCAACACAATCACGCGCCCGGACGACTGAAGCCCGTCCCAGAGCGTCATAAACTCGGCCTTGAGCATGGCGGTGATTTCGTGGTCGGTCGACAGTCGGTCGCGCAAAAAGGAGTCGATTTCATCGATAAAGATAATGCATGGCTGTAATTTAGCCGCCAACGTGAAGATGGCGGCGACGATTTTGTTCGACTCGCCATACCACTTGTCCATGATGGAGGAGAGGCGGATCGAGATGAACGTCGCGCCTGACTCGCGCGCGAGCGCCTTGGCGAGCATCGTCTTGCCGCACCCGGGCGGCCCATAGAGCAACACGCCCTTTGGCGGCTGCAACAACTCAGAGTGTGCTAAGAACAAGTCTGGCTCCGTCAACGGATACAACACGGACTCGCGCAACTCGTCCACGATGTCCTCTAGCCCGCCGATGTCCGCAAACCCGACGTTGATCTCGTCGGGCGTGACCACGCTGGCCAACACTGTCTTTTCATATTCGTTCAAGTCGAGGGTGGCGCCGGGGTTTGCCGCCTTGAGTTTTTGTAACGTCTTGGACGCCTTCTTCTTCGACTCCTTCGACCCGCCGTCAGGGCCCGAGTTTACGAGATGGTTGATCAAGTAGTAGATCGAGAGCGACGATGCCGTGAAAAACACGATATCTGTGATGATCTTAAGATCGAGTCTGTCTCTAAAGCCCATGGTTGTGGTATTAGGAGTGGGTGAGAGGTGATATGTGGATAAGCAGGAAAATATGAACAGCGGTTGCATGTGACCGAAAATGGCGAAAGCGGCGGCTGCACCACGCACGTGCCTCTGTCATGTGGGAGAGTTTTAGAAGTTTTGGTACTGAGCCCATAACTACCTACCGGTGTTTAATAAAAAAAGGAATAGGGAGTTGTTTATGATGCGTGTCAAATATAATAACATATACAAGGTTGGTGGGGAATCGCAATGGGAGATGCCCCGGATGTCTTGGTCCGTACCACTGACTATCAAACCTTCACCCGTAAGAGGTATTGTTTCAAACCCACCTCACTTCCTTTGTTAGAACCCTGCCAGTCTATGGTAACAAAGCTTCATATAATTCCTTCCATTATCTTACCCTATAATTTCACTTCCAGCTACATTCAGCCTCGAATAAAATTGTTTAAATCGATTAACGAACTTCACCCCAGAGCAAGCTTCATACTTTAGGTCTTATCTGTACCTAATGAAATACTTTCACACCTTCTTGAACTCGTTCACGTCAAATGCATTCTGCTTTTCCTGCGCTCTGACAGCGGCATCGTTCACCGGAGCCGTAAGAGCCGGGGTCTTGCGCTCAATAATCTCCAAGTAGTTGCCAGGAACGTAGCCCATGCTCCCATCTCTCTTTCTGACTCTCCACCACGGAGACTCCTTGCCCTGCGGGTCCAACCGCGTCAAGATCGCCACCAAGTCGCCAGGAACCAAAGCAGCCTCGACCTGTGGGTTTTCAGGGTTGAACGCGTACAACGCCTTCCCGAACTGGAGCAGGGCCGGGTTGGCAACCGCACCCAGAGCCTGAAGCTGCTGTTGCTGCTGTTCCCCGATCCGTTTGATGATCTTGTTGATCAAGTATGGGAACCCAAAGACGGCTGCAAGGAAAAAGAGAAGCGGTTTGAGCGAGATCCGCGGCCGGTTAGGCCCGCTTTCCTTCTTACGCTGTTTGTCCTCCAACTTCTTCTGCTTCGCATCGAACTTGGTAAACTCGCTCGGGGACAAGCCGTAGTCGAATTTTCGGCCGGAAAGCTTGGCTATGATTTTCTTCATGTACTTCATAAGCGCAAAGATCCCGAACAAACCACCCAAAGCCTGTTTCAAGTGGCCAAACTGCTCAGCAACGCTGATCATGGTGAAAAACGACGAGTGTGTGGCCATGTAGGTGGCCTCTAGCATCTGCGCAAAACCGCCCACAGCGCCGATGACTGACTCGATGAGTTGGAACGTAGCCTGGGTACCCTGCGCGATTCCACCAGCACCGTCCATGCCATTCATGCCCATGCCATTCATACCCATTCCCATGCCGTTCATGCCATAACCGCCCATGCCGTAACCGCCCATGCCAGAGCCGTACATCGACCCTAGCCCGTATGAAGAGCCATACATGGATCCCATGCCGCCCATGCCTCCCATGGATCCATAACGCGAGCCGCCGTAACCTGTGCTACCATAACCTGTGCTGCCATAACCCGTGTTGCCATAGCCTGTGCTGCCGTAGGAGTTATACGGAGAGCTGGTGGCTATGTCCGGTTGTGATAAGGATGTCGGACGTTCCGGGATGGTGTTTCCGAGCCCGGCTGTGGACGAGGTATGTGGGGTTTCCACAGAAGAGGGCTGTCCTGATGCAACTAAACGGTTAGTAAATGTCTGGAAATATCAATACAGAAAGGTTGTGTTTTAGACCAGCCTCATAGGAGAGAGTGCTCCGTAGTGTAAAACACTGATTAGCAGGATAAACCACCAGGTGGTGCTTTCAAACTTCCATAGTATCGCAAAGGTTAGGACATACCAGCTTGAGAGGTTCCGGAGGCGACTTCCCACGGTTTAGTTCTCGTAGCCGACATTATCGCTATTGTGATGTATTATAGTGCGCGTTGGATTCTATCAGAATTCAGGCGATAGTATGTATGTGATAACGGCTGGATATAGCGATGTGTGAAGGGCAAATCGTGTGATGAGAACTAACGGCACAAATATCTAAATCAGGCAGCCGCTGTAGCGCGCGCTTCTCCGGATTTCGACTGTGGTAGCGAAAAAAATGACGCTGATACCCCGCGCTCGTAACCTCCACGAAGTTTCAGCGGACCGAGGCAGCTGCGAAAGACGATCCTTACTAGCGGGCCAGTCTATGCATGTGCTCGGTGTGGGGCAGACTTGATCGAAAGCACGTGATGATAGGCAGGAGGAGCATGTGGGGAGATGAGTCAAGATGGATTGGCCAGACCAAGACTGGGATGAGGTGATAAATGTTTGGCTTGGGCTGTCGATATTACGCTTCCACAAAGTGATATAGTTTATGACTGCGATGGGTAGTAGATACCACCGAACAGAGCATATAGACCCATCATTTAATGTTCGGACATTGGTGTAAACAATACGCAAAACTCATCCAGTTAAACACAACTAATAGATGTGGAATTTGGTTTTTAATGCCAACTCTCAGAGTACCACCTACCGATGACCGACGGACCAATAGTTACAGATGACTGGGGGTCCCACCAAGCAGCTCACTTACTATCCAACTTATCTTTATTCTCCACCAATTTAAAGCAAAACCTCGTAGGTCATACTCTTTAAAACAGAGATATTCGATTGTTCGTGCATTTATTCTAAGGATATTTCCATATTTGGGTAACCTGAAATTAAATTTAAAGTAATTGTCGGTCTTTCATCAACCTTATGTACCCCCCGGTACTTATCACCACTGTGGCATATCCTGTATGTTGCCCCCACGGAAGCCGTCCCGTCACAAGGCTTAAGAGTAACAGGTTTAAGCACCACTTTGGTATAAAAACTATCCCTTCTCAAAACTTCAAACTACTCTTTCCATTACCCCCAACCATGGACGAAAAATATTCCCTTAGAGACTACTCTCTGTCCCCGGACAAACACACCTCTTGCTTCACGTCCTTGTTCAGCCTCTACCAAGGGCTCCCATCCGCGCAATTCAGCGACTCTGACTCCTGTGACGACGAGAGCTTTGCTGCTGAGCCAGCCCCTGTCTCCGTGTATGACTCCACTGAGATCTTGCGCCGCTTGCGCGAGCACATGTCGGACCACGGGGTTGGCGTCTACATCATCCCGTCGGAAGACGAACACCAATCGGAATACACTGCTGACGCCGACAAGAGAAGAGGATACGTGTCTGGCTTTGACGGTTCGGCCGGTGTGGCAATTGTGGCATCCAAACACGCAGCGTTATCCACGGATGGTCGCTACTTCCTCCAGGCGGAGCAGCAGCTCGACGCCAACTGGGAGTTGCTCAAACAGGCGACGCCAGGGTACCCTACGTGGCAGTCCTGGGCCCTTATGCAGATCTTGGACGGCCACACCGAATACAGATCGTTGGGGATCGACCCCCGCTTGATCTCCAAGGCTAGCGGCGACTATCTTGCCGAAATGTGTGCCAGACACCGTATCGAGTTGAAGCTTGTGTATGATAATTTGGTGGATTCCGTGTGGACAAACAAGCCTGAACGCTCCACGGTTCCGGTTTACGAGTTGCCATTGGCGTATTCCGGAGAAACGTCTGCTTCCAAGCTTGCCAGAATCCAGGAGCACCTCACAGCCTCCAGCGCCGAGGGCACGGTTATCTCCGCGTTGGATGAAATTGCGTGGATTTTCAACTTGAGAGGGACCGACATTGCCTTCAGCCCGGTTTTTTTTGCCTACAGCATTATCACCCCAAGTAAGGTGGTTCTTTACATCAACCAAGTGAAGCTTGGCCCTGCCACGCGTAAGCACTTGGCTGAACTTGGCGTGGAGATCAAGGACTACGCCCGGGTCTGGGAGGATATCACCCTGGTATTTGTCCAAGGGAAGGTGATTCTTCCGCAGTCGGCATCCTACGCGTTGGTGGCCAGGTTGCCAGCGCTGGTTCCGTACGAGCTTGCGTCATTCGTGGAGGACTGGAAGGCGATCAAGAACCCCGTCGAGTTGGAAAACGCTCAGATTGCCCAGACTAAGGATAGCATTGCCACCATCCAGTTGTTTGCCTGGTTGGATGCACAGCTCCGCAAGGGTCGCCGTGTTACCGAGTGGGACGTTGCGGTGAAAATCGCCAAGCTCCGTGCCAAGCAGCCTCACTACAAGGGCTTGTCCTACGAAACCATCTCCTCTTCAGGCCCTAACGGTGCAATCATCCACTACGCCCCCACCGCCGAGCACCATGCCGTAATTGATCTGCGCCAGCTCTTTTTACTTGACTCGGGTGCACAGTACTTGGAAGGGACCACCGATATTACACGTACGGTGCACTTCGGGAAGCCAACCAGCGAAGAAAAGGTGTACTACACGGCAGTTCTCCAGGGCCACCTCAACCTTGCGAGGGAAGTCTTTCCCGGAAACGGCTCTGTCACGGGCCAGAACCTCGACATTCTCGCAAGAACCCCGTTGTGGCGTCTTGGGGTGGATTACAAGCACGGCACCGGCCACGGGATTGGGTCATTCCTAGGGGTCCACGAAGGGCCAATCGGTATTGGGAGTAACTCGTCGGGGAAGACCAATCCCGCCAGGTTGGCCGTGGGGAACGTCTTGTCAGATGAACCGGGCTTTTATAAGGATGGCGAGTACGGCATTAGAATCGAGAGTGACTTGGCAATTGTGGAGAGTGGCAGGGAGTCTAACGGAACCAAGTTCTTGAAGTTTGACTACATGACCCAGGTGCCATTTGCCCGCAACTTGGTAAACTGGGAGACGTTGAGCGGTGAGGAAAGGGCGTGGATCGGTGAATACTACAAGGAGTTGAGAAGGGTATTGAAGCCGAGATTGTTGGAACTTGGTGATAAGCGGGCCTGGAAGTGGTTGGATAAGGAAACGAGTGCTTTTTAGGGGTTGATGTATGGTTCTAGTGTAATCTTTTGAATTTATAACGATCGGCTCCGGTGTAGAAATAGATACGAGTATTTCCACTGGATCAAAGAGACGTATAAATAAGTAAGGCCATCCAATTGATTATATGTCATGCTCAAAGCTTTGTTGGGCTTATGGGATTTTTTTCAAACATTTAACAGATGGAGGATGATTCGATGTTGGGATCTACCGAACTATATCTCTTTTCCTTTATCCGGTCAAGAGCCGCACGTTCAAATTTTGCGCGCAGGAGAACGTTCCCATAAAACAAATGTCTTTACATAGTTTAATTCCAGTAATCACATCCAGTCATTCACATGTCCACTGAATTCAGACATGACCGGGGTCTTGCGAAACGCGTCTCCAAAATCCATGGCGTAAACCCCGTGTTTCTCATTGAAAAGATCTCGCGAGAGCGTATCCTTGACTCCTTCTACTGGAAACGAGACTGTTTCGGACTCAACACCGCCACCTTACTCGACCGTGCAGTCGCCTTGCAACACATTGGGGGCTACGACGAACTGCAAAGACCCACACCCTTTATCTGCCTCGGGTTAAAGATGCTACAGTTGCAACCAGCCCCGGAAATCATCACGTATTTGCTCCACCAGCGTGACTTCAAATACTTAACCTGTCTAGCCGCGTTCTACATCCGCCTAACGCTAGATTCCGCTGGAGTATACAGGACGCTTGAGCCGTTGTATGCCGACTATCGCAAAATTAGATACAAGAAAGGAAGCACCATGGTGTTGAGCCACATTGACGAGTTTATCGACGAGTTGCTTACCAGCGAGCGGAGCTGCGACATGATTCTTCCGCGGATGGTGGGACGGTTGTACCTAGAGGATCAAGAATTGTTGGAGCCGCGAAAAAGTGAAATCGACAGCGATTTGGAAAGCGACGAGAGCGAAAGTGGGAGTGACTAGTTGGCGAGTGAGTATCTGCGTGTTACAGCCCCCCAGATCTGATGCAGATATCAGTCCAAACACACCTAAGGCTGTTTCAGGCTGAAATATCGTTGGAACGCTTGGGGAAATGTTTTAACGCCGTGTATAGACACAAGTCAGTCGACAAGGGATTAGGTACGCTCCTGAGTATTCAAGCTCCAAGCGTATATACTCTTCATAAAGATTTATGTCTGAAAATCTGAGAAAGTATCTACCATACATCTAGATTCTAATTCTAGGATAGATTACTCTCGACCCATGGTAATAGAAAACCGCTACTGGGCGAGATCACCATGAACGATTATCACGAAAAAGCATTGGTAAAATTGCACTGTAAACCCTTAGACTCACTTTCGGACGTGTCAGTGTGTCGGAACTAAAAACCCGACACATAGATTAAGCCTGTTTATTTATTGAACCCCTACCTCAAAGTTTCATTTTCAGGTGCCTCTTCTCACTGCAAAGAGAATACTAGAAGGTAACTCCACGGGAGGGTCGAGCTCTCAATCTTCGGATAAATCCTACTTGGGTGTACCCTAGTATGAGATTGGCTCTCTTCCAATTGAACTGGTGAAGCACTTCCGTGGCTGAAAAAAAATACGTTCGAACCAAAGTTTCACATAGTATTCACTCTAATTTGATTCTAAAAGAAGTAACCGGTGTCATGGAACATAACAAGTGATCCAGGTTATATATGTACATGTTTTTGTTAAGACTGTTTTTAAAAATAATTTCCTCAAGAACATATCTGATCAGTGTAATTTAATTTTTAGTAAAATAAATTTGTGCAATATGTACAAACTTGACGTAATATTGTTTACATATACCAAATAATATATGTCTGTTTAACCTATAAGTTGTATACAATTAATATTACTGAAATTTATAACAGGACGTGGATAATACGCGTGAATGGGTATATATGTAATGTAGGAAATATATATATATATATTTCCATGAATTTTCAATAGGTATGAATACTTACACCAACGATTTTAATTTTCAGCTGACACCAGACACATACATTGTTGCACGTGAAAGTGGTGCCAATACCAAGCATGGTGATATAACCAGGAATGGTGCCAAAACTGAACCAAGGAATTAGACCTGGGCAATAATCATCACTAAATATATGTACACTTGAATCTTTTGCCTGTACAACCAACACAATTCAGATTTCACTTCATATATAAGCAACTCACTACAGCTAACCAAAAAATCTAATATGGCAAATATATTGAAAATTAGAGCCATCACAAAGGACTATACACACTTAAGTCGCTCACAAAACTTTAAAAAAAGAAACTCAAGCTTAACAGCAAAGGTATACGTGTTCTTGCATCAACTAAGGATAGGAGCCTGGAGCAAGCCCAAAGTAACCATTTGGCAAAGCACTGGCGTTAAGACGCGATTGCTGCCCGTTAAAACCGTCAATTCCTGCAAACGGCACATTGTTACCCCACCAGTCAATATTCTTAGCATGATACTGAACCGAAAAGAAGATGATGATCGAGGAAAACGCAACACCCGCACTCAAGCCAGCAGACAATACATAGTTGTACTTCTCCCACCAGTCACTGTACCGTCTCTTAATGTGGTACATAAAGACGTAGCCAACAATCAAAGCCGGGGTGACATAAGACAAGTTGGTAGGAGCATAGATCAAGAAACCGCCAATGATCAAAGTTGGTTGGAAAGACGCAGTGATATACTTTGGACCGTACCGCTTGAAGGCGTAACATGGGATTGGCAACAACGCTCCAATTAAGAAACACCACTTGAGGATTGGATACAACCCGTCGAAAACACGCTTTGGCCCGATCACTCCCCAAAGAACCGAAGCCGAGAAGAATGTTCTATCACCAGGACAAGAGAACTTTTGGGCTTGAGTAAGAGTACAAAGCTCTTTGATATTCGAAAGAGACCAGTTCATAACACCCAACGTGACGAAGCATTGGATGACAGTTGCCAACATCTGACCTCTGAAGAGAGCCATAGGTGGAACATTGGAGTAATGGGCCATCTTCTGATTTGAGATATAGTTATCGGCCTGACCATCAATGTTGTAACCAAGAGCCTTAATGGTCATCAACGCCACACCGTTACCTGGAAGGGCATATCCGACAATCAACTCCACGAGCACGTTCAAGCCAAACTGGAAACCAGTGACGGCGAAAATCAACACTAACGGAATCAAGAAGACAAAGTTGATACCAAGGGCGAAGAAAATACCCCAAACTGGAGTTTGGGCCGGGTATAACTTAACACAGAGAATTCCCATCACGAGAGAGAAAACCAAAACGAGAAGAAACCACCAGTCTGGGACTTCCTTGTACTTGGACATCATTCTGCAGTGGGGATCATTGAACCCAGCAAAGTTGGACCTCTTGAAATCCTTAAGAGCAAACCATAATTGCTTAAAGGAAGCAGCCATCCCTTTCCATTCAATCATGGTAGTGTAAATAATCGAAAACGGATAGATAGCGAAAAATGCACCGTAAAGAACCAAATTGGCGGCAGAATAGTAAGGTGGTGAGTAAGCCTGGTACTTCGCTTCATCAAAGAGGCCATTCGTTAAAACCTCGGAGACCTTGAATGGCTCCCCCGTGTTGGTATATAATCCATTAGTATTAATTGGGAGATATCCGGTCCAGAGGTGGTTGGACCAATAGACTCCGACGATGCAGAAAAGCGCAATAATAGAACCAATATACTGGTTAACATTGGAGTACCATGGTGTGGCAAGGGGATAAAGAAGGATCTGAGTCATGTAATTCCAATCGAAAGTAGTGATAGGATTGAGACCCAAGCCAACATTGGAGCCAGTGATAGCAGCTAAGTTGAAGTTGTTTGGGGCAATCCAGGTCATCCAGTTAAAGATGGACATTGCTTGAAAGAGATAGTCGGGTAACCAGAAGTACAAGAACATCCCGCCAAAGACAATGTAGAAAAAGTTGAAGCGGGAAACCTTCCAGCCATTAATGATTTGAAGCTTCTCTTCTTTCATCAACGCTCTGTTCAACGCCAAAGTCGGCAACATGGTTGGCCACATGGCGCGAACAGGGTAAACACAGATCTTACGCATGATACCAGCGAACCCGAAACCCATAAATTGGGTACTCAAAATCAACAAAAGCTGGTACCCGAAGCTGGCCCACTTGAAACCGTAAAACAAATCAAGTTTGAGGGCGTACAAGTTGTAGGAAACGTAAGCACCACCTACACCAACAGAAATGCAGATAGTAGCAAACATCTGCTCCTTGTAGGTGTATGGACCAGGATTAATGGAGTAACGTTGACCCTTAATGGTGAACCCCCAATCTGGCAACACAGCAGCCATGAACTTCCCAAGTGGATACAAGAAAATCTGGATAACGTTAGATGGAAGAGATATTTGTGGCAACCTGTGGCGGAAGAATTCGTAGATACCAGCTCCGAGAACCGTCCAAATAAAGATCAACACGTATGCTCTAAATGTTTCAACAGGGATAGTTGGGTCATCGTACGGATCGGTCACGGCTCTCACCTCGGGGTAAGGCGAGTGGAAGGCGATCAACGCAGCTTCCAATCTGGCTTCCAACTCCCATTCTTCTATGTATTCGCCCTTTTCACCCTTGAAGGAGACAACTTCAGATAAAAATTCATTAGCCTTAGATTTTTCACCTGTTTGACTCGATTGGTCTTCAGATAACATCTGTTTAACTTTGGAAACATCACCAGTTTGTCCTGGCTGACTCAAGAAGGAATCAGAAGAGTGAGCTTCAAGCAACGCATGGATCTTCTCCATGACACCTGCTGGGAAGTTCACATCGTCGTCGTGGTAGACGGAGGCTTCCTTCAAAATCTCCATAGCCTCGGAGGTTGGCAACTCTTCCACCTTGGTGATCATGTAGGCGGCCTCTGGTGGAAGGTCGTCAAGGTCTTGCAACCCACCGTGACCAGTTCTGGTCAAGATAGTGAATTTCTGGTCGGGGGAGAGAGATTTTCCCACCTCGCCGATGCTCAAAGCGGCGGAGGCAACGGGACTAAGGTCAGTTTCAAAGACGATCGACTCAGTCATGGTTAATGCGGTTCTGAATCAGCCTTCTAGGTGTGCTAAATACCAGGACGAATAGTGAAATGCCTGGTAGATGGGATGGATGGTATTTATAGGCTTTTACATGAGAGCCAGCTGTGAGAATCCTCTTCCCGCGTGACCTATACTGGTCCACAGTTTTTTGGCCTAGCCGTCAGAGTGAAAATATCCCCGCTATCATCAGTTCTTATCTGTACACTGTTTGGATTCAAACCTATGCTCATTCTGTTGCCAATCTCGCGGGTTACCGGTCGCATATGCATGACTTGCAGATGCAAAATGTATATCCTGGTCGGGAAACCAAAAAGCTTAATAACTTTACTTCGGGCTTGTCAAGGAAAATGCCAAGATATAGACGGTATCTAGGACTAGCAGAACCCCGAAGCATATAGGATTTGGGTTCCTACCAAATACATGGGAAAACTTTACAAATAAGCGCGGAGTAAATTTTTGAGCCACCTAGATAGAGATACGCTCTCTCGTTCGTGAGGAACAGTAAACAGATACTCGTTCCCAGAACCATGCACATACACGTGTTATTGCGGAAGACATAGGAGCCGTACCTATACACGTACCAGTGGATAACTAACTAATATCGTGAGGTCCACCACGTCGGGAAACCTAATATCCCCCGCAGAAAATATCGAAATACAGACACGCGATCGCATTTCAGGAAAGGTGGAAACGGGGTTAAGGCTGCATGCCCGTTGTCTTAGTCGACGTAACGCCTCGCAAGAGAGAGGCACACAATCGAAAGGAGAGTCTCAGGCAGCCGGGGTCACGAAATTATGAGAGAATTTACCGCTAGATAAGTGACAAATTGATCAACCCAAGCCTTAGTAGGACAAGCAATCTCTGTTGTTCCAGAGTCATACTGGTGCCAAGAGGAGTCAGATTCGCGTATGCACAAAGTTACAGAATTATGTCGTTACGACGATTGACCTCACCGTTGACAAGAATGCGGGGTCAGCCAGACTCCTTTGACGACTGATGATCAGAGCCTGACAAGAGGCAGTATGCGTAGTAGTGATTATCTAAAGGTGTACTATCTTTCAGTATATCAGGCAAAACCTTGTATGATCAGTATCTCTGTTGAGTGTTCCGTGACTGTATTATACAAGGTGTCGGTTTAAAAAGAAAGTTGACGGAGCTCGGCATGTCTAGTCTAGAGGGTGTAGACGATGGCCCATGAATCAGACCACGGCTGTACAGTGTTGTGCATTGGACTGCATCCCCCTTAACGCCCGACACTCACCAACCATTTTCATTTGTTTAAGTATTTCAAGCCACCTCCAGAAAACGTATGCCAAGAGTTAGATACTCTAGTGCTAAGTAAAGGTATTGCTCATGTGTCGAGGGAGATTGCGGGTCATTGAAAGCAGAAAGCGAATAGGCTCCCTCTAGAGGGAAGAAGCAAATATGCGATCTAATAGTCAAAGCACTCGTACAAGGGTATTTTAGTATTTTAGAAATCAGGCCATGCTGTCACAGAAGGTTCTACAAGGTACTGTATGAGCACATGTAATCAGATACTGCAGGGAATGACATCGAGTAAAGGCGGCAACTTTAAGTTTGTGATATGAAATTCACTGGGATTCAGGAGAATCCGCGTAAGGCCGTGCGATGCCACCACCGATCTTCCAACACAGTTGCACAGCTTAGTCGGTCTCGGTGTCGCCGAAACGAAGGTTCAGTCATTTGAACACTCACCCGTATTTCTTGGAGAATACCACGGCGTCTACTAGCATACTCTGGCCCCCACTAAACAAAAAACCTGTTTCACTCTGTGCGCTTCACCACCCGACTTTCTCGAAAGCTGTACGTTTTGAAGAATCTATACCAAAGAGTCGCAATATCGCTTTACGATTAAAGAGTGGGTAAAGCAGCCGTTTCAGCGTGAAATTATGAATCTTTCGCCGGTACGGTGATTGATGGTAATGATAACCAGACAAACACACATGCCTCGTAGCTCTACGGCCCTGTTGCCGATAAGCAATTCACAGTTTTTAAATTGAGGTGCAGGAAATGTCCGACGCTTAACCAGGGTGACCCATGATATAGCTATAAGCCACCTAAAGCGAGCCTCGAACGGCAACTGACACGTGCGGTTTGGTTTTTAGTTTGGTGCCGTGCGTGTAAGCGGATCAACTTCAGCCGCGTCGTTATCGAGATAAGCGTTTAGCGCGATATGGAAGTTTACGTGACCTGTTACAATCAACTGTGGGGTCAGTCACAGACCCCGACTTTCACCACAGTTAAATGTAGCTGTCGTATCGGGACTGATACGGCGAAATATGAAAATGCTCATACCCTGCAGCACACTGGCAAGCCAAACGGGCCAATAGAGGATCGCTGATTTGTCACAACAGGCATACTCCTAGGTATAAGAGTGAAACCCGAGAGGGAAACAACATCGGATAATTGCGACCAGAAGGGTAAATGGAATGGTTCCTAGTATGAACGAACCACCGATCTCGGTGTTATTAGCGCGATGTCTTAACCAACTGGACCAAGAGACCAAGTATTCGAGCGTCAGAATTCGGGTGTGTCTTCAGAATTTTCTAACAGTCATAAGCCTGGGGGTTCCGTTCTTTGTCCGAATGAACTTCAGAGCCATCATTGGCTCAGACCGGTGGATCACAAATACAGTTTGTTATTGTAGAATAAAACTCAGACCATTCATAATTTCAAAGAACTAAAAGCTATCTAGGAGAATTCGGTTTCTTAAGTAGATGAATTTGTCCTACTCTGCGAGTATGTTCCGATTTACGAGCTTGTTTTGGTCATGTATTAGCAAATACTTGGCATTGTACTAGTGCGGATCTCCGCACTTATCCGACCGACAATTACATCAGCTGAAACGATCAGTCCAGTGATAGCACACCTCCGTCTATGGGCCGTGTAAGCTCGTGGCATCATCCTCTTCTATCTCGAGGCCGTTTCAACGAATACCTCTGACCTCCTCTTGTCTCCTTTATATCTGAGATGTCAGGCGCAGCTGGCATGCCGCTTTGAACTCACCTTAGATGTCATCATGCGCATCCCTGACCAGTGTCAGAGTTAGACAAGTCACCTCTGACGTTGTGGGTGGTCACTAGGATTGGATGGTAGAGGTTATCAGAACCTGCTCTCTAGCACGGGTGAAGCAAGTATTGAGCTAGGCAGATGGAAACACAAGTACTGTAATCACATAGGATTATTTTAGGAAATGGTTTATCACTTTTAGGTACTCTCTTAGCTAAACATCATCTTTATTCTTGTGAATCATTGTGGCCGTGTATTGTAGATAGAATGACTGGCCACAATCCCCAGACTGGAAATCTTACCGATGCCCGATTCCTTGCAGACCGAAAGAAGTCTTTCTAGGCCATACCTAACTTATACCTGGTAAGTACAAGAGCTGAAGTTTTCGAGCCCTCAGCCTTGATTCACTAAAATTTAGACAGAGTATATACCATAGTTAACCGACCTTTTTTGGTAGACACCTAAGTATGACTGATACAGTTTTAGGGTAACTCACCGTCAAGAATAGTGTTTCCGATATGACCAGGAATGGGGTCGAAATGAGTTGAGGTATCACTTATTCGCAAACCTGAACCAAAGAACTTGACTTACGGGTAATGCCCATCACTAAATAGTACTTTGACCTCTCGCCCTTCCAACCAATACAACTCGGATCTTACTTCATTTATAAGCAACTAACTATAACTAACTGAGAAATCTAATATGGCAAATATATTGAAAATTAGAGCCATTAAAAAAGACTAACACACCTAAGTCGTTCACAAAACTTGAAAAAAAGAAACTCAAGCTTAAACAGCAAAGATCTACTTGCTCTGGTAGCGACTAAGGATAGGAGCCTGGAGCAGGTCCAAAGTAACCATTTGGTAAAGTGCTGGCGTCAAGACGTGATTGCTGCCCGTTACCACCTTCGATTCCTCCCCCAGAAACTGTATTACCCCACCAGGTAACATCCTTTTCGTGGTACTGCACCGCAAAAAAGATGATGATTGAGGAAAACGCGACTCCTGCAGTCAAAGCAGAAGACAACACATAGTTGTACTTCTCCCACCAGTCACTGTACCGTCTCTTAATGTGGTACATAAAGACGTAGCCAACAATCAAAGCCGGGGTGACAAAGGACAAGTTGTAAGGAGCGTAGATCAAGAAACCGCCAATGATCAAAGTTGGTTGGAAAGCTCTAGTGAAAGATTTTGGACCGTACCGCTTGAAGGCGTAACAAGGAAACGGCAACAACGCCCCGATCAAAAAACACCACTTGAGGATTGGATACAACCCGTTAAACACCCGCTTTGGCCCGATCACCCCCCAAAGGACCGAAGCTGAGAAGAACGTTCTATCACCAGGACAAGAGAACTTTTGGGCTTGGTGAGGGGTACAAAGGCCATCGATGTTCGAAAGAAGCCAGTTCATAACACCCAACGTGACGAAGCATTGAATGATAGTTGCCAACATCTGACCTCTGAAGAGAGCCATAGGTGGAACCTTGGCGTAGTGAGCGGTCTTTTGATTCGTGATATAGTTCTCAGCCTGACCATCAATGTTATAGCCAAGAGCCTTTAAGGTCATCAACGCCACACCGTTACCTGGAATAGCGTACCCAATAATCAACTCCACGAGCACGTTCAAACCAAAGGAGAAACCTGTAACCGAATAGATCACCACCAACGGAATCAAGAAGACAAAGTTGATACCAACAGTGAAGAAAATACCCCAAACTGGAGTTTGGGCCGGGTATAATTTAACACAGAGAATAGCCATCACGAGAGAGAAAACCAAAACGGCAACAAACCACCAATCTGGGACCTCCTTGTATTTGGACATCATTCTGCAGTGGGGATCATTGAACCCAGCAAAGTTGGACCTCTTGAAATCCTTGAGCGAATACCATACCTGCTTGAAGGAAGCTGACATCCCTTTCCATTCAATCATAGTAGTGTAAATAACTGAAAACGGGTAGATAGCGAAAAATGCACCGTAAAGAACCAAATTGGCGGCAGAATAGTAAGGTGGTGAGTAAGCTTGGTACTTCTCGTTGTCAAAGAGACCGTTTGTTAAGATCTTGGTGACCTTGAATGGCTCTCCCGTGTTGGTGAATAATGCATTGGTATTAATTGGGAGGTATCCGGACCAAAGATTATTAGACCAGTAGACCCCAATAATGCAGAAAAACGCAATAATAGAGCCAATATACTGGTTAACATTGGAGTACCACGGAATGACAAGGGGCGTATTAATGAAAATCGTCATGTAATTCCAATCAAAAGAGGTGATAGGGTTGAGACCTAAGCCGTAAACGGAACCAGTGATAGCAGCTAAGTTGAAGTTGTTTGGGGCAATCCAGGTCATCCAGTTGAAAGTAGACAATGCCGTAAAGAGATAGTCGGGTAACCAGAAGTACATGAACATCCCGCCAAAGACAATGTAGAAAAAGTTGAAGCGGGAAATCTTCCAGCCATTAATGACTTGAAGCTTCTCTTCTTTCATCAACGCTCTGTTCAATGCCAAGGTCGGCAATAAGGTTGGCCACATGGCGCGAACAGGGTAAACACTGATCTTGCGGAAGATACCAGCGAACCCGAAACCCATAAATTGAGTACTCAAAATCAACAAAAGTTGGTACCCGAAACTAACCCACTTGAAATCGTAAAATTGGTCCAGCCTGAGGGCGAAAATGTTATAGGAAACGTAAGCACCACCTACACCAACAGAAATGCAGATAGTAGCAAACATCTGCTCCTTGTAGGTGTAAGGGCCCGGGTTAATGGAGTAACGTTCACCCTTAATGGTGAATCCCCAATCTGGCAACACAGCAGCCATGAACTTCCCAAGTGGATACAAGAACATCTGGATAACGTTTGGAGGAAGGGTAATTTGTGGCATTCTGTGGCGGAAGAATTCATAGATACCAGCTCCAATCATCGTCCAAACAAAGATCAACAAGTACGCTCTGAATGTTTCCACGGGAATAGTTGGGTCATCGTACGGATCAGTCACGGCTCTCACCTCGGGGTATGGCGAGTGGAAGGCGATCAACGCGGCTTCCAATCTGGCTTCCAACTCCCATTCTTCTAAGTATTCACCTTTTTCGCCTTTAAAGGAGACAACTTCTTCGGATAACATCTCTTTAACCTTGGACGCCTCACCTGTTTGGGTTGGCTGACTCAAGAAGGAATCAGAGGAGTGGGTCTCGAGCAAATCATGAATCTTCTCCATGACACCTTCTGGGAAGTTCACATCGTCGTCGTGGTAGACGGAGGCTTCCTTCAAAATCTCCATAGCCTCAGAGGTTGGCAACTCCTCCACCTTGGTGATCATGTAAGCGGCCTCTGGTGGAAGATCGTCAAGGTCTTGCAACCCACCGTGACCAGTTCTGGTCAAGATGGTAAATTTCTGATCGGGAGAGAGAGATTTCCCCACTTCACCGATGCTCAAAGCAGCAGAGGCGACGGGACTAAGGTCAGTTTCAAAGGCAATCGATTCAGTCATGGTTAGTGTGGTTCTGAATCAGCCTTCTAGGTGTGCTAAATACCAGGACGAATAGTGAAATACCTGGTAGATGGGATGGAAGGTATTTATAGGCTTTTACATGAGAGCCAGCTGTGAGAGTCCTCTTCCCGCGTGACCTATACTGGTCCACAGTTTCTTGGTCTAGCCGTCAGAGTGAAAGTGTCCCCGCTATCATCAGTTCTTATCTGTACACTGTTTGGATTCAAACATATACTTATTCTACCGCTAATCTCGCGGGTTACCAGTTGCATATGCATGACCTGCAACTGCAAAATGTGTACCCTTGTCGAAGAAACTAAACTAAAAAGGGTACCTTGGGCTCATCATGGAACGCGCAATTATGTACACGGTATTCATGGCTGGCAGAATCCCGAAGCACGTAGGATTTGGGTTCCTACTAAATACACGGGAGAGCTATGAAAAAGCGCGGAGTAGATTTTTGAACCACCTAGATGGAGAAACACACTCTCGTTCTTGGGTAACAGTGAACATATACTTGTTCCTAGAACCATGCATGCGCATGTGTTTTTGTGCGAGACATAGGAGCCGTACCTATACATGTACCTGCAAATAACTAGCTAATGTCGTGAGGTCCTCTGTGTCGGGAAACCTAATATCCCCGCAGAAGATATTGAAATACAGACACGCGATCACATTTCGAGAAAGGTGGAAACGGGGTTAGGGTCATATGCCTGTTGTCTCAGCCGACATAACGCCTCGCAAAAGAGGGGCACACAATCAAAAGGAGCGTCTCTGTCGGCTAAGGTCATCGAGAAGTAGGCTAGCTTACCGCCAGATAAGTGACAAATTGGCGAAACCAAGCCATAGTAGGACAGGCAGTCTCGGTTTCTCCAGACTCATACTAGAGCTAAAAGGAGTAAGATTCGCGTACGCACAAAGTTACAGAATTATGTCGTTACGACGATTGACCTCGCCGTTGACAAGAATGTGGGGTCAGCCAGACTCCTTTGATGACAGACGATCAGAGCCTGACAAGAGGCAGTATGCGTAGTAGTGATCACCTAAAGGTGTACCATCTTTCAGTATACTAGATAAAACCCAGTGCCAATATCTCTGTTGTGTGTTCCGTGACTCCGTGCTATTCAAGGCGTCGACTGAAAAGAACACTGACGGCACTCAGCTTTTCTGGTCCAGAGGATGTAGACGATGACCCATGCACCAGACCACGGCTGTACAGTACAGTGCATACGACTATATGCCACTGAATGCTTGGCAGCGACAAACTATTTGCTTGTTTAAGCATTTCAAGACACTCTATATAACGAATTCCATGAATTATATGCTTTAGCTCCAAGTAAGTATTTCTTGTGCATTGAGAGGTATTGGGGGTTATCGAAAGTAAAAGGCGAATAGACCCCTTCAAGAAAAATGAAGCAGATATGCGACTTAGCAACCTAAACATTTGCGCAGGATACTCTCATATCCTGGAAATAAACCACTCTGTGACGGCACAAGGGTTTACAGGGTGCAATTTGAGTATTGCTATTTAATACTGCAGGGAATAACACCGGATATAGGCGACATATTTTAGTCAGCGATATGAAATATACTGGGACTCCGGCAAATCAGTAAAAATAGCCATACAATGTTAATACTGATACTCCAACTCATAGTTGCACAATTTAGTCGGTCTTGGCATCACTGAGACGAAGATACTATCATTTGTGCACCTTTCCATATTTCTTGGCGCATAAATACCACAGCATTCACTAGCGTGATACCCTGGTCATCCATAAGCAGATTCTAATTTCATCCTATACGGTTCAGTACTCGATTTTCTTGAAAGTTGTAGATATCGAGGAATTTATATTACAAAGTTGCAAAATACCTGCATGATCAAAATGTGAGTAAAGCGGTCACTACAACGCGTAGCCATGAACCGTCTACTGATTCAGTAGTTACAGGGATACGATAATCGGATAAACACGTGTGCTTCACAGTGCTTAAAAAAGATGTGGAGAAGTGGTCTAACACTCAACAAGGGTAGTCCCCGCAGTAGCTACAAGTCACCTAGTAAGAGTGGTATCGTGTAGCATCTGGGACATGCGTTTAGGCTTTTAATTTGGTGCCGTGTGTGTAAGCGGATCAGCTTCAGCCGTATCGCTGCCGAGATAAGTATTTAGCATGATAGGGGAATTGTCAAGACCTGTTATAACGAACTGCAGGGTCGGCCCTACCTCCTGCTTCCTGATCTTCTACCACAGCTGTGATGCGTAACTTCCGGGTCCGACCTGATATGGTGAATATGAATATGCTCACGTCCAGCAGCTGGCCCTGAAATTCACACTGACTAAATTGTAAACCAAGGGACCGATTTTTGATGCCAAGAATGCACCAGATGGTATCTCAGGGAAACTCACAGCACTGCACCTGAAGTCTTAGAGATAAATGATATAGGAGATGTTCATAGGAATGGCCTCGAGCTAGTGAGAGGATGATGCCACGATTTCACTTAGCCCATAAAAGGTGGCGTGCGTTCGCTGGGCTGATCGTCCCAGATTGTGAAATTGTGGATCGGATACGAGCGGGGGTCTTTGAAATTACAGCCAAGCACGTTATATTTGAAGGCTAAGCATGTGCTATCATAAATAAGACAAATTCGTATATTGGAACACGTTCGTAAACTAGAATGAGTTTGGATACTATTAGGGAGTCAAGCCCTTCTCAATAGTTTAGTTCGTATATAATATGTTTGGTAAGAAATAATGGATACCGTTATCCTGTTAAAAGAGAATGTCTTTCATAGGAAAGATATACACAGAGAGAGGAGGAGTTCGGGCCCATTTGTGCTGAGGGCCAGGAACAGCATTATTATGGTTCTATAGCAATGCTATATAATCGGTACAAGGAAATAGGACACTGAAATATCGTACGACTGGAGATCAGATGGTATATTCATACGATGTCCGCGAGATTAAATAGTACCTTTAGTATACCTTGGCAGACAAATCATAAGTTAGACTTGGCTAATCACCGGTAAACGTCTAGTATCGCTGTGAATTCTCATGATTGAGCAACCCGGGTGGTCATGTTGGTGGCATGGCTCGCTTATCAAAATTTGGACAGCTTTTCCATGGTCTGGGGATATAAGCCGCAACGGGAGTTGGGGAGACGTCAGCTGATTGCAAAAAAATAATCGTCAGAATAATTGAAAATTTCATTATTAAGTTGAGTGAGTAAGAATATTTTTAGTAAATAGTTTTATGAATACGAACTAGAAGCTATGAAGGAGGGTTCGACTTCTTAATAGCACACGAACTCGTCCTACCTTACTGACTCGTCCAATTTACGAACTCATTTTGGCTTTGTAATAGCACATGTGTGGTATTGTATAAATATAGACCCCTACATCAATTCAACCACACAACTGGATCGACTGAAACGAACGGTCTAGCGATAACACATGTCGCTTCATTCCAGGCCACATGAGCACACGAGCTCTCTTTATCGTCCTCTTAGCTTGTTTCTGAGACTTCTGGAACAGTGCTATGAGTTCTCATGAGGTGTCATCCAGTATACCCTTGGCACTATCTACCAGGATTCGGGAATGTTGCCCAAACCTTCAGATCTTACCATGTCTTGGGGTTCCATTCTCGATCTGAATGCACCTCATCACTATGTATAGCTTAGACTGAACGGCTGATAATACAACCTTCTATTGTAGAGTAAAGTTCTGATTGGATATAATCCACTAAAAGAGTCTACTAATAGTTAGAAATTACTGCCCTATATATCCCTATACGATTGCAACACTGATGACTCAGTCTGCTCGATTTACCGCAAGCTCTACTTTCATGGGCCTCTTGAAATCTCTCCTCTTGGTTCAGCACTCGCATCACTTGTGTCAGAAAGCAGAACCTGAAATCTGCAATCATTTACTCCTGATAATCACCTTCTGTACCATACATAACCCTAGAGACCGGTTCTTTAGCTTTAAAATTCAAATATTTAGGCACTTTCTTCCAACCGTCTGATCTTTACTATTTTCCTATTTACGTACTGGTCAACGCTATTGCACTTGAATTTCGGATCTGACATACTCTAGTTTCTTGAATTCATTGTTTCGGTTATCTAGTTGCCGATTTAATCTGATTGTTTCTATTTCTGTTTAGGCTATCTTAATTATACCTACTGATTTCTATGTGTGTTTCATGTAATATCTCATTATATTATTAACATACGTTCTGTATACATATTTATTTCAACAGACTCAGGATTCGTTTTAACCGAGATATCCGTTTATTAGTCCAAATGACCACAAATATTGTAATCCTTATTGGAAGGGATACAAGGGGGTGTTCCCATCGGCTCAGCCCAACACTTAAACCTTCATATGGTGCTAAAGGCTTATTTAGATAACACCGTAATTGAAGGTGATTCGTTTACACACACGACACCAAACTAAATACCAAAGCGCACGTACCAGCTATTACACGAGACTGATCACCTTAGATGACCTATGGCCGTACTATGGGTCACCTCTGTTGAGTGATATGCCACTTCCCCACGCTTCTTTTAGGCATTGTGAATTACTTATTAACCACAGGGTAGAATGACTGCGAATTATGCGTGCATATCCGGTTATCGTATCCCTGCAACCACAGAAGCAGGAGACGGTTCACAGCTGCACACTGTAATCACTGCCTTACTCACACTTTGATCGTAAATGGATATTACTATTTTATTACATACTTTCCTCGACACGTATACTGTTTGAGAGAAAAAGTCGAGTAGTGTGCTGTGTAAAATGAACCTGGTATCTGTTTAGGGAGGATCAGGTTATCATGTTAGTGAATCCTGTGGTTCTTGGGGGTCACGCATTAAGGGCGAATGTTTGAATGATAGAACTTTCGTTTCAGTCACGTCTAGAGCTACGTGTTGGAAAATCAGTGATATCCTTTCACAGCCTTTAGCGAATTGGTCGGAGTTCCAGTAAATTCCATACCGCAGGATAAGCT